AGCCACATTTGAAAAATACCAATTGTCGCTAAAGAACAAACCTCAGTGCCGCGACAGCCACAATGAATCAGGGAATCCATACCGTTTCTCCAAATAAGCGTCACCCAATGATCACAATGGCCGGCTTATTTTCGTTCATGTTTTTAGCTAACATATGATACCATTAATCTTCTTATATTTATTTTGTTCTTTAATCTTGCAATCTCTGTTATTATTGTAGATTGTATTATCTTAATTTCTATGTATAGAATCTGAGATAAAATGAAACATGCTAATGGGTCATTCTGTGCAAAAAGTCAATTTCAGCTTTTGGTCTTAAGAAAATTTCATTTTTTTTGTATTTATATGTCTTCATGTAAACTACTTTGGTTTGTATGATTGGTATATTGCATCAGCAGAGAAGTTTAGACATGAATTTTCCATAAACTTTATTGTGACGTTTCTACTTTAAATCAAAATGTCATTACCGCAACGGCGAAAAAAATACTGATTTTGGAAAATCTTTTCATAAATTTTGCATACACACAGCTATGAAATGGGAAGAGTTGTGAGGCGTCACACATGTGGCTGTTTATAAGTATATTTGTGCAATAAATGGTCATTCTTCTGAAATTCTTTTTTGTTTTAGTTTTTAGCTTGAATATAGACCTAATAACTCGGGCAACAATAGCTCTTATCTCAAACAGGTATCAGTAAAGGATAAAACATTGAACTAATTTGACACTCCCACAAGTTAAAAGTCTTCAAAGAAATGATTGGTTGTACAATCATAAATAATTCGTAAAAGGTGGGTAGAGTGCAGAAGTTTCACCAAGGACATGTGGAACCAGTCTGGGAATGATGGTCATGAAACCTATAACAACCTTGAGGGATGACATCACAAGGTCAACCAGTTAGCCCGAAAGTGCCACCCAACATTTAGAGATGTGACGTAAACCCAACTCAACTCAACTGAGATTGTCAAACTGTTCAAACGCGAACAATCATTTACGGAAGTTGCAGTCTTGAGACCGTCAACCTGCTCCATTTACAATGAACTATACTAAGCTATACTATGTGTTTGCTTGCGATTGATGCTGAGAATTAAGTATGAGAATTGATGATGATGATGATGTGAATTAAATATGAGTTATGTGAGTGTTATTATACTATGCTTGTTATGTCTGTGAAACCTCCCGTGAATAAAACTGAAAATAAATGGTATATATCTTTGCTTTTCTATGTTAAATACGGTACCATATTACGGGGCTAACAATGTTGGGATAGCATTGCCGCAAAAGCCACATTCCCTCCGTGTCCTTTGCCGGGAACGCCACACGAAGTTCATCCTGTTTTTTTCTCAAATGTGGCTTTGCCGGGCTGTAACCATACATTTACCTCAGTATCTGTTCACACATTGTTCTATATATTCACCTGAGCTGTGCAATGAACTTAAAATGTATTGAAAGGTATTGAAGGGACCAACAGCTATATGAATGGGAAAACCACCACACCACACCTCCCCGTCAGTTATCTCCTGCTAAATATGTAACTAGCATGAGAAATGCTGGAATGGCTTTGAGACGTATCGCAACTGAAACTGGCCCCAATCCCTCCACAGTCAACACATTAGCGTGGACCAAACCATTCTCTTCCCACAGAGGTTACTCCTGTCATATTTTCCTACGTAGGAAGATATGACAGGAGTAACCTCTGTGGGAAGAGAATGGGACCAAACAGGCGATGTGAAGGACAGGAAGCACAACGGAGAGAGATATGACGTCCGCAGCTCTGATGAACCTTGTAAACCGTAGTCCATTTGCTACAAATACGCTTCTCTATGTGACAAATACAAATACGCTATTTCAAGGTCAGGTTATAAACGGGAACCTTCCTACAGACGGTCAGAAATCACCTGGCAATAGAGGTATCGCGCCTGGAATCCTCCAGAAAGTGTCAGAAGTCTGACGAAACTACTCTGTGTGTTTTTTCCATGGCAGAGTACGTGTATGGCGTCATAGCAACACGGTATATGCACACAGAAAGCAGGTTCCAGTTGGTGGCGGGTCCGTTCCAGTTGTCTTACGAACGTAAACTTTAACTTGTTTCTGTGGAAGGCATTCTTCAGGGTTAAACGTATCAGTGAAGATACTGGAGTAGGTTGTAACATTTGGAGAACAACCCTGTTCTCACAAGTTCGGTTTACATGCATGACAACGCTAGTCCCCACTGAAGTGGTGCTATGTTGGATTGTCCACGAGCATTTTTTGGACATTTAGGAGGCAGTGGCTCCCCCGGTACAGAACCTTGGCTATTTGGAACAGGTTCTCAGCCAGAAGAACAGACTGCCTCACAGACGGATGCAGCATCAGGTGCCCTCGATGTGAAGACGCCTTCCCTGACGGGGTGTGTCTACACGCGGTATTGACATGATCTCCTGTTTCGGTAACTTTAAGTCCTTTCTAAGAATGCATCACACGTGTGATGTCTTGTTATCGCATATACTTCAGGTGTACACCATTATTTGTAACAACCATTATAATAGTAAAGTAAAACTGACTGACATTTTTCTTCGTATTTTCTATTCATACACACGCCTTCGTCACGATGTAATACGATATGCAAACATTTATCGCATTGTGATTCCATAAAACGCCAGGAACTTTCATAGGCCATCTAAAAACAAGATTGCAGGTTTGTGATTACACTTCCACAGTGGAAGCTGCGTTGGCTAAGTGGGTTAGATTGCTGACTTCGTGTGCTGGCGACTAGCCTGGCTCTGAGAGTGTGGGTTCGAATCACGGATGCGACTCAACCCAACAAAATTGCTAGAATCCGTTCTTTCTGAGAAAGTGTTACCTCAAATAACATGTTACATTTACCACTTTCTAAAGGCATAGGGTATTCAGACTATATAGAGGGACAACCACATCTCACGCATTACACCAAGACCACAATCTAGGAACTGCTTTTCGAAGTGATTCACATCAAAGGTGAGAATTTATGGATGTCAACTTCTGTACTATGATTAGCACTACGTGGAGTGTATTCTTACTCCATCATTCACCTGGTGAAGGGGTAAGAATATACTTCAAAATGCCGTGGTCCCTATAATAGAGAAGCTGACATCCATAAGTTCTTACCTTTTCTGTGAAGATAGTTATTCCCACCTGGGGTATCTCGGGAAAAACGCATTGATATCACAACTTTAATGAAAGCACGAGTATCCCCCAACTCACAAACCAGCAACGTGCACGTACCGTGGGTTGGCTTAATGCTCCGTTGCAGTAGTTGCACGAGCCGTGGGTTGTAGTCGTCAAACAAACAGTCTGTGGACCCTTTGTTCAACAACGGGTACTGTTGCATATCGTCCATAGGTTTTAGAAAACTTCCCAGCTTTCCAATGATACCAAATGGATCTTACCTCCGGCACACCTGTCGCCTCTGTTTTGCTAGTTTGCTTGAGATTTGTTACTGGTCGCATATAATATATGAAAGGCCTTGGGCGCCGAGTGTGATTTCACACATCAGGTTACGTCATCTTCGCAACAGATTTGGTCAATACCATCTACAGATATAGCTGTTCAGAGGTGGAACGTCAGCACAGACAACCAGGAATCCACTGCGCATCGCAAGTATCCGAGCTAGAAGACCATACACTGGACCGACCCAGACGTAATTTCATCGTGCTAAACGTTTACGATGGGTCCGCAGACACACCAGATTCAACCAAAGGCAGTAGAGCAGTGTCTTTAATGACGAGTCACGCTTCACACTGTGCTTTTCCGATGACAGAGAACGAGGGTTGGTAAAAAATAAGTCAGCCTAACTATATTCTCGATGTCCAATGTTTGCAAACAAAAGCTTCCATTCTATTTTGAAGGAATCATTAGCCAAAATTTCACATGTGGGTAATGTGGTTAACGAGATATTAGTCATCACAACACATTGGGGAGTAATATATTTTTAAAAATGCAGAAAATGAAAAACGATCTGTCATTTGGTACCTCGTGGATAATAGTATGCCCTCGGATATCATATAAAATATGTTCAGTATAGTATTGGATGACTTCTTGTCATAATCAACAGTCAAAGATTTGGATTGCTAAATTTAGATTTAGAGCTGACACTTGTGTGACCATTCAGTATTTAGTTTGAACCCTTGGCATCATACATGAATAAGTAAGAATGTCCTTATCATTATCTCATCTCAAAGAGAGGTGGGTAGTGTCTCCAAAACAAGCTCTTTCAATAAACGCAAAGAGGGGTGTCCCTTTAACAAGCAATTGTAGTTTCAAATTGCTCTTTTTATACACTTTAATATCTAAGTTTGATTCTAACAGTTTTCTACCTATCTCAAACACACAAAATGTTTCTTGCATATTTTGTTTCCTGAAGTTTGTGCTGCATTTATTGCAGATTTTGCGTTTTGGGGAGTACCAAGATAAAACGTCAAACAAAATGGGGATCGTGAGGCTGGGACATAGCAAATTCAATTTGCTTGAGATTGACATATAATATGCAGAAAAAGAAAACAAAAAAACCCAGCTGCATTTGTATCATTTTCTAGGTGAGGCTGACTACTTTTTGACCGACCCTCCTACGCTGGTGGCAAAAGCGGTGAACGCCGGTGTTCGTGATGTCGACCGATTTGGAGAGGACATATCGTGCTTAGTGCCAAACACCAAGTGAATGTCTGGCTGAGACCTCGTGACTGATTTGCCGGTGGATCGTGTTTATGGTGTAGGGTGGCATCTGGATACATCCGCTGCCCTGCTCCAACACCAGGTCAAGCACGGGCCTCATGTACATACATGTATATTCATATCTACTTATCTCGCTCGAGAATCTCATGAAACGCCTTAAATTGTATGAATAAATAGTCAATTCCCAATTTGTCTAAGTTTTCACATTTCAGGGTTATCACTCACGACTCTTTCAATACCACACGTTTTCCTCCTAATGATAAGTCAATGGATGTAAAAATACTGTATGTACCAGAGGCAACCAAGTGGTCCAGTCAACAGTTTTATTAACATGATAAAAAAGTATATCTAAAAACATTATGTAGATGACATAAATTAAATATATATTGTATATGTTCACTTTAACACAGATTTACATAAATGTGTCTGAAAAAAGAAACCTGCAACACTTCAGTTGAGTTATTATGAATTGTTGAAAATACACATTTATCAGCTTTTTTCATTGAGATCATTTTGATACAAAACAAAACTCAGGCATTGTTTGTGAAAAAACCTAAACCTGACAACATCTAAGATTTGGATCATTACCACACATTTACTGTGAAACCCTTCCCATTACCTTCACACCCCAAGATTTACTCAGAAAAGTCATCTTGATTTCAACCTGTTAGCTCCTTTCATAAAACCTTCAAAGGTTAAAGCTGAAGCCATGATGTGTGCTGGTCACTTCCTTGTACACAGTGTTGTCACGTAGGTTGAAGACGCTGGACAGTGTCTCCTCGGCTTTGGGGTGTAAGCCAGATGCTTCCACTTCCTTGCATGGATCACTCTGAAGCAATGTACCCCTTAGGTTCAGAGATGCTGTAGGTTCATGTGTGTTGAATGTCAAGGTGAAATCCTCCTCTTGGAGATCTCGCAGGAGGTGAGATACATTCAGCACATGGTGGGGAAGGATGGGTCCAGACATTTCTATCACGTGACCTTTCTGGATGTTTCCTGAAGCATCCGTCTGTTTGGCCACCGAGTGCTTCAGCTGCAGAAAGGAAATGTTAAGAATGTCTCAGAATGACACACAACAGTAAGCTCTTGTGAACAGAAGTGCTATTAGGAGCTTGGTTACAAACATAGGAGTGTTTTAGTTAAATCACAAGTGATATTATGAGTGCTTCAGCTGAATGACAAGTTCAGAGCATTTCAACATATGACCTGTGACATAAGAGTTTCGGCAAAATGACATTATCAGCATTTCAGCTGATGATATGATATAATGCACACTTCAGATGCATTACAAGTGATATGAAAAGTGCTTCAGCTAAATGACAATTACTATTATAAGAAGGAAAACTACTATGAATATGTCAGCAAAATGATATTATGAGCCCTTCAGCTGATGACAAGCCAGAGTATAAGAGTACATGTATGATTAACTCACTTTATTAGGCTTCAGTGTGGCACCTTTGAATGGTGTGGGAGCTAGGATGGTTGGGGGAACGCCAGCCTGAGGGCCGCTGGTGGCTGTGCAGCTCCTGCAGTTGAGGAGAAAGTTGAACATCGCCTGAACGTCAGCACCTTCCACGTATACCAGCGACTCTGGTCGGTTGTCTACACGCCGGAAACCTTCACGCTGACTCCAACAGTTAAGGAAATACTATCAGCATACTTCTGTGCTGTTGCAACAATGTCTACAAAAAAAATTAAAGCCGGGCTATCAGTGGATGACTACCTCTATCAGTGGGTGAGTTTGCCTATTATTATTATAATATCATTGGGTGAGTAGGTCTATCAGTAGTTCTGTCAGTGGCTGAGTAGGTCTATGTGTGGTTCTATCAGGGGGTGAGTAGGTCAATGTGTGGTTCTGTCAGTGGTTGAGTCGGTCTATGTGTGGTTCTATCAGTAGGTGAGTTGGTCTATCTGTGGTTCTGTCAGTATTGAGTCAGTCTATGTGTGGTTCTGTCAGTGGTTGAGTAGGTCTGTCTGTTGTTCTGTCAGTAGGTGAGTTGGTCTATCTGTGGTTCTGACAGTGTTGAGTCAGTCTATGTGTGGTTCTGTCAGTGGTTGAGTAGGTCTGTCTGTTGTTCTGTCAGTGGTTGAGTAGGTCTGTCTGTGGTTCTGTCAGTGTTGAGTTGGTCTATCTGTGGTTCTGTCATTGGGTGAGTAGGTCTGTCAGTACATGGGTAGGTGTATCAGTTGATGAGTAGATATATCAGAGGCTAATTTTATGGACGACTGAGCATCTACTCCACTAAATACGAAGGAGACAAGACAGTGAACCAATGACCTAGCATTAGTGTTTGGGGCTGGATGTACAAAGGGTTACTATTGCAGATGAAGACAGGCTACAACTCAGGTTGGATTGGGGAGGATACAGTTTGACCTTTTTGGGGTCAAGTGAGGGGAAGCTCTTCTTGTCCAGGCCCATGCTCTCCAGCCACACAGACGCGCCTTCATCATTGTCAATCAGATCATCATCATCTTCATCACCGTAGCTGCAGGCAGTCCTGTACAATAAACACAAGGACCTGTACTGGTGTAACACGGACACAATGGTCTACAGTTATAAAATAGACACAAGGAACTACTGTTATAAAATAGACAAAGGACCTATTGGTATCACAAAGACCCTACCATTATCAAATAGACACAAAGACATAGACACAGCAACCTATGGTTAAAGCACAGACATGACCTACTATAATAACAAACACAACCTGAAACATTTATAAGATCCACACAGAAACCTGTTATAACACAGACACATCAACACACAGGTTCTATCAAACACAATTAACTGTTACTGGTGGATTGTCCATCGTAAGAGAAACTGGTGAAGTTTTTGATGGAGTGTAATGTGATGATGGCTGTCTTGTCTGAGGTTGGGGAAGAGAAAGAGTGACTAATGTAAATGCCACATGGCCACACCACCCATTTAATGCTACAACACAGACACAACAACCTGCTGCTACAACACAGACACAACAACCTACTGCTACAACACAGACACAACAACCTATTGCTACAAACAGATACAACAACCTACTGCTACAACACAGACACAACAACCTACAGCTACAACACAGACACAACAACCTACTGCTACAACACAGACACAACAACCTACTGCTACAACACAGACACAACAACCTACTGCTACAACACAGACACAACAACCTACTGCTACAACACAGACACAACAACCTACTGCTACAACACAGACACAACAACCTACTGCTACAACACAGACACAACAACCTACTGCTACAACACAGACACAACAACCTACTGCTACAACAGACACAACAACCTACTGCTACAACACAGACACAACAACCTACTGCTACAACACACACAACGACCTACTGCTACAACAGATACAACCTGCTGCTACAACACAGATACAACAACCTGCTGCTACAACACAGACACAACAACTTACTGCTACAACACAGATACAACAACCTACTGCTACAACACAGATACAACCTACTGCTACAACAGACACAACAACCTACTGCTACAACACAGACACAACCTACTGCTACAACACACACAACGACCTACTGCTACAACAGATACAACAACCTACTGCTACAACACAGACACAACAACCTACTGCTACAACACAGACACAACAACCAACTGCTACAACAGATACAACAACCTACTGCTACAACACAGATACAACAACCTGCTGCTACAACAGAGACACATCAACTTACTGCTACAACAGACACAACAACCTACTGCTACAACAGACACAACAACCTACTGCTACAACACAGACACAACAACCTACTGCTACAACAGACACAACAACCTACTGCTACAACACAGACACAACAACCTACTGCTACAACACAGACACATCAACCTACCTATGAGGACCTGGTGTGTGATCTGGCTCTGAAGTGGCTACGGGGTCAGTGTTCTGGTCAGCAGAGACTATCTCTGCGGACAACTCCAGCTTCTTTCCCTCTAAGTTCGGCATCCGGAAACTAATTCCTGATTGAATGTGGCAAAGATATGAATGAGTTCGAGTACCTAACAGGCACAGCTGCTGTCAAACCACAAATTCTGCACAGAGAGACAGACAGAGCAGCAGAGTGGTGATGCTTGTATCACATGATGCACAGACAGACAGACAGAACGAGCAGCAGAGTGGTGATGTTTGTATCACATCCTGCACAGACAGACAGACAGACAGACAGACAGAGCAGCATAGTGGTGATGCATATATTGCATCCTGCACAGACAGACAGACAGAGCGAGCAGCAGAGTGGTGATGTTTGTATCACATCCTGCACAGACAGACAGACAGAGCAGCATAGTGGTGATGCATATATCGCATCCTGCACAGACAGACAGAGCAGAGTGGTGATGTTTGAGCAGCAGAGTGGTGATGTTTGTGCATCCTCACATCACATCCTGCAGACAGACAGACAGACAGAGCAGCAGAGTGGTGATGTTTGTATCGCATCCTGCACAGACAGACAGACAGCAGCAGTATCACATCCTGCACAGTGACAGTGCATAGTGGTGATGCATATATCGCATCCTGCACAGACAGACAGACAGAGAGCTGCAGACATGTTTGTATCACAGACAGACAGACAGACAGACAGAGCAGAGTGGTGATGCATATATATGCATCCTGCACAGACAGACAGACAGAGCGAGCAGCAGAGTGGTGATGTTTGTATCACATCCTGCACACAGACAGACAGACAGACAGACAGAGCAGCATAGTGGTGATGCATATGCATCCTGCAGACAGACAGACAGACATAGCGAGCAGCAGAGTGGTGATGTTTGTATCACATCCTGCACAGACAGACAGACAGACAGCATAGTGGTGACAGACAGACAGACAGAGCAGCAGAGTGGTGATGTTTGTATCACATCCTGCACAGACAGACAGACAGAGCAGCAGAGTGGTGATGTTTGTATCGCATCCTGCACAGACAGACAGACAGACAGAGCAGCAGAGTGGTGATGCATATATCGCAACCTGCACTAGACGTACAGATTTGTACCACACAAACGTGATGTCTATAAAGTTTCACATATTACTGAAATATATGCCCAGAACCATAAAGTTACATCTAAGGCAGGGATTGGGAAAGGGAGGGATTGGGAAAGGCAGGGATTGGGAAAGGCAGGGGCCATGGGCCATTTTGCACATTAGAATAAAAAATGGCCCATTAAAAGTTTGAAGTTTACTACTGATACAAGGGCAGTGGCTCATTCTATGTTCAGAAAATAGCTAATCATCATGAAAATGGCCCTTTGTCAAAGTTCTCTATCCCAATCCCTGCAAAAGTAATGAATCATACTATCTAACTTTGAAGACATGGTATGTCCCTTTTAACAGTGTTAAACCACTTTAGTCAGTATTTATTGGAAGTATAATGATTCCTGTTTTCCTTGCGGTGAACCATGCACTTCAAACATCAGCATGACTCCAGGAGCTTGTCAACAACATACCGTCTTGCTTGAAGGCCTCCCTGAGACCACGTGTTGTAGGCGTGAGACAAGCATTAATATTTGTCTGACTGTTGACGCCTACCCCACGGCACGGAACAACACGGTGAACTGATGAGTGCACAGGTAGAAGTACGGACATTTCCCAGCTCTCAGTAGGTGGAATACTGACGTCAAGCTATCAGTCCTAAAAGCACACAAACAATCTCATAAGAAGTTACTTTATTAATATATCAATAAATTTGTTATACTATGGTAACTTACTATAAGTTGTATGGTTCTCTCGAGGGTAATACAGTCTGATGTACGCCTCTTTGTAGCAGTGTCACCCAAGCCAGTAGGCAAGGGATGACACTGCTACAAAAAGGTGTACATCAGACCGTATTACCCGAGGGAGAAGCATACAACGTATTAACTAACCGCCATGTTAAATGTACAAAATATCATTTTATTTTATTTTGAATATCAATAAGCTCGCTACCAACTATAGGACATGTAAACAAAATGGTGTCTGTTTCCCGACTGGATTTTTAAAATCAGTGAAACATATTCTGACAAGGTTAAAGCTGCTATAAAAATGTCTAATTATGTTTAAGTTGAGTGTGCAAATGATTCAAAATATAAAATAGTTTTAAAAAATCAGTGAAAGTCGGTAAAATAAATGCGTGTACATAGTGAACTCAAAAACAGCTAATCAAACGGTTTTCGTACTCCGTGCACCACATGCGTCATATTATGATGTCATACGATTGTTAGCGATACAGCTTCTCGGTGGAGAGTTTGGCGGTTACCGTGGCAGCGGGTAATAATTTTTCCAGTTGTCACCCTCCTGGGAGTGGTGACACTGAAACTTGTTAAAGTGTCATTGACCAATGAAATTAAAGTATGTTACATGACGGTAAGATAAAATGTAATGTACAATGTGGAACAGCATCTTTGTTGGTCACTTTGTAGTGTCAGATTCTGATGATACAAACTTGACAGTTCATGGAACTTTTCAATAATATCATATCAGAAAGGAGAGACAAAAAATAAGTCAAGATTCTTCAAAACCATAGTACTTGCTCCATGCTCATTGGCATCAATAACAATTATCCAGTGGCTGAAATAACATAAACATCTAATCATGTCATTGTATTGTTTTAACAGGGGGCTTGTAAAAGACACATGTCTTCTTCATGTTTCAGTGGATTAAACTTGCATCCTTCAGATCTAGGGCCTAACTTAGATTGTGAGAAATTCCAAACATTGTGTTGATACCTTACATATTTCTGAAGGTTTATAGGAACAATCAGCCACTGGGACATGCAGGGCCTTACCAGTCTCTATGCAGAGCAAGTGTTGCTTCGTCATTGGATCCCACAATACTGACATGGCTGAAACAGAAAACACAGTACAAGTTACCTTCTTAAACAAGTAGGCAAGTACTCCTCCCATTGTAGCAGTACAAGTTATCTTCTTAAACAAGTAGGCTAGTACTCCTCCCATTGTAGCAGTACAAGTTACCTTCTTAAACAAGTAGGCAAGTACTCCTGTCACTGTAGCAGTACAAGTTACCTTCTTAAACAAGTAGGCTAGTACACCTGTCACTGTAGCAGTACAAGTTACCTTCTTAAACAAGTAGGCTAGTACTCCTCTCACTGTAGCAGTACAAGTTACCTTCTTAAACAAGTAGGCTAGTACTCCTCTCACTGTAGCAGTACAAGTTACCTTCTTAAACAAGTAGGCTAGTACTCCTGTCACTGTAGCAGTACAAGTTATCTTCTTAAACAAGTAGGCTAGTACTCCTGTCACTGTAGCAGTACAAGTTATCTTCTTAAACAAGTAGGCTAGTACTCCTCTCACTCTAGCAGTACAAGTTATCTTCTTAAACAAGTAGGCTAGTACACCTGTCACTGTAGCAGTACAAGTTATCTTCTTAAACAAGTAGGCTAGTACACCTCCCACTGTAGCAGTACAAGTTATCTTCTTAAACAAGTAGGCTAGTACTCCTCTCACTGTAGCAGTACAAGTTATCTTCTTAAACAAGTAGGCTAGTACTCCTTTCACTGTAGCAGTACAAGTTATCTTCTTAAACAAGTAGGCTAGTACTCCTTTCACTGTAGCAGTACAAGTTATCTTCTTAAACAAGTAGGCTAGTACTCCTTTCACTGTAGCAGTACAAGTTATCTTCTTAAACAAGTAGGCTAGTACTCCTCCCACTGTAGCAGTACAAGTTACCTTCTTAAACAAGTAGGCTAGTACTCCTCCCACTGTAGCAGTACAAGTTATCTTCTTAAACAAGTAGGCTAGTACTCCTTTCACTGTAGCAGTACAAGTTATCTTCTTAAACAAGTAGGCTAGTACTCCTCTCACTGTAGCAGTACAAGTTATCTTCTTAAACAAGTAGGCTAGTACTCCTTTCACTGTAGCAGTACAAGTTATCTTCTTAAACAAGTAGGCTAGTACTCCTCTCACTGTAGCAGTACAAGTTATCTTCTTAAACAAGTAGGCTAGTACTCCTCTCACTGTAGCAGTACAAGTTATCTTCTTAAACAAGTAGGCTAGTACTCCTCCCACTGTAGCAGTACAAGTTACCTTCTAAAACAAGTAGGCTAGTACTCCTCTCACTGTAGCAGTACAAGTTATCTTCTTAAAAACAAGTAGGCTAGTAGGCTAGTACTCCTCTCACTGTAGCAGTACAAGTTATCTTCTTAAACAAGTAGGCTAGTACTCCTCTCACTGTAGCAGTACAAGTTATCTTCTTAAACAAGTAGGCTAGTACTCCTCTCACTGTAGCAGTACAAGTTATCTTCTTAAACAAGTAGGCTAGTACTCCTTTCACTGTAGCAGTACAAGTTATCTTCTTAAACAAGTAGGCTAGTACTCCTCTCATTGTAGCAATTCAAGTTATCTTCTTAAACAAGTAGGCTAGTTTTCCTTTCACTGTAACAGTACAAGTTATTTCATCAACAAGACCCAGGTTGTCTCCCCATGTACTTAAACAAAATAGGTTGGTACTCCACTGTAGCAGTACTAAACTCACTCACTCTTAAACAAGTAGGCTAGTACTCCTCTCACTGTAGCAGTACAAGTTATCTTCTTAAACAAGTAGGCTAGTACTCCTCTCACTGTAGCAGTACAAGTTATCTTCTTAAACAAGTAGGCTAGTACTCCTCTCACTGTAGCAGTACAAGTTATCTTCTTAAACAAGTAGGCTAGTACTCCTCTCACTGTAGCAGTACAAGTTACCTTCTTAAACAAGTAGGCTAGTACACCTTTCACTGTAGCAGTAAAGGTTATCTTCTTAAACAAGTAGGCTAGTACTCCTCCCAATGTAGCAGTACAAGTTACCTTCCAAAAGAAGTAGGCTAGTACTCCTCTCACTGTAGCAGTACAAGTTACCTTCTTAACCAAGTAGGCTAGTACACCTTTCACTGTAGCAGTACAATCCAAGCAATGGAAACTCATGAGGAACATTTCATTTTTGTTAAAAAAAGAATGATTATGAATGTGCACACTTTGATTAAACAAGGAATATTGGAATTTTTTTACCATGAATTGTATGTTTATATACTTATCCTATCGCACAGTATGCACATCTCTTCTTCTTCTACAACCCATGCGTGGAAACGTGCTGTAGGCTAAGTTGAATCAAATCTTTACGGCCTCTGACCCACCTGACCTCTGCCCCTACTCCGATAGCATGACCCGTCAATCATCTCTATAAGTGTGCAGATCACTCAGATGATCATGTAACATCCCATTACTGTCATTCTTGTCTTGGAGCTTCCCGCAATCTGTGATGCAGGTCAGGTCGAGTGGGAATCAATCGCATGAGATAGGATAAGTATATAAATATACAATTCATGGTTAAAATTTCCAAATTCTAAACTTATCCTATCTCACAGTATGCACTATCCCACGGTTGGAAGGTGGGCCGAAGATTACTCTGTGTCAACTCTACAACCGTGAGGTCGCATAACACAAGGAGGCCAGGACAAAGCACCAACTCCCGATATGCTAACTCTGAACTTGTGATGGGTTGCTTCTGTGTGATAACCCCTTGGCTTACACAGCACAAAAACTCTAGAGGTGGACGGTCCCGAATTAATATGGTTTTCAGCCACAACTTTTGGCAAGTAGGCCCCGCCTTTCCACGATTTATCAGGTGACCCCAGTGAACTAAAGTCGAAGACCTTAATCGGGACAGCTCCTGCTTCGACACCATCCCCCCAGACACATGCTGGAATGGGGTGAAAAGGGAGAACGGCCCAGTTGCTCAACTTCGTTTAATGTTCAGTACCAATCCCCCTAATTTACCAAAGGTGATAAAGGACTTAGGAGCGGAAAGCTTCAAAAAACATGTAGGTAATCGGAAATCAACACTTCGCTGACGTAATTGCTCAGAGAGTAGAGGTCAACAAGTGGAGTGGTGACCACCTCTGCATGAAGTATAAGACTGGCCTCACAGTCTATCGAGTCATTGGTATGACAGGACTGACACGACCTCGTTCTAGCTAGGTGAGGTGATCTATGCCCAAATGAAGAAAGAATACCAAGAAAAAGGTAAGATCAATATCTTTGATTGATATACATAATGCAAGACTGACGCGAGGGAAGGATTGCATCTCATCTGCGATTGCGGGCCGACGACAGCTGCTGTGCCAGGACCAAGGGACCAAATTGGTGGAGACCTTCCACATCCATGACGGAGATATCCCGGAGGTAGTGTGAAGCTAAGACGGTGTCTGACTTCCAGAAGCAGCCCTCCATGATGGTGTGAAGTGAGCAGTTTCTGTGGAGCGCCATGGTAGAGGCCAATGCCCTCGGCTTGGGGGGTTGGCCGCAGATGGTGGAGGAAGGTCAGCATAGGTATAGGCGCGCAGGATGGTGGATCGCATCCAAACGCCAGAGTGGTACGAGAGACTTCTGTAGAAGAGGCAGTTGACAGAGGTATAAATAGTCTCTTGCGCAACCTACGACAGTCCTTGGATGCAGCGAGGTCCTCTGTGTCGTCAGGGCCCAAGATGGTGGAATGGCAAAAGTTCGATCCGGCTGTCCTGGTAATTGATTCTTGGTGACAAAATCCCACCACAAACCAAGAAAAACTTTAGCATGTTTGGACCTATCAAAACGCACCAGGGCGTGAAGCTCGGAAATGCGCGCAGCAGTTGCCAGAGCTAGGAGGAAGAAGGTCTTAAACGTGACCTGCTCAAAATCCTTCTCCGCCAGAGGTACGTAGTCCCCTGACATGAGATGGTTAAGAACCACGGAAAGGTCCCAAGCTGGTGGCAGGAACTTCTGGGATTGATCAGCAACTTTGTAAGATCTGAGGAGAGCCTGGAGCTCAGGGACTGTAGACACTGTCACAACCGTAACCGGCGCAATAACTGTGTTAAGCGCGGCCAGGTACGTAGACAAAGTCAAACGCTTCAGAAGTTGGAAGATGCTGGAGGTACTCTGCAACCACCTGCGGCAATGTTGTAGTGGGAGATACAATTCTCTCCACCGTGCATTTTGCTTCAAAATTCTTCCATTTGTCGTAATAGAGTGACCTGGTAGAAGAACGTTGCGCTGTGGTGATTGTTGTAGCGACTCGCTCGAATATCCCTTTGCAGTTAGCGATTTATGTAAATGCTCCACTCGTGAAGATGCAGCTGATCAGAGTGAGGATGAACCAGAAGATCGGCGCGATCGGGAAGTGGTAATGGATTTGGATCATCCACTTCTTGTAGGTCTATGAACCATCTTCTGGCCGGCCAATAAGGGACGTGAAGTAACTTGAGCAGTAATCGCGTGGAAGCAGAGCCACTGGTGGAAACTCCACAGCTGTCCCAGGGGATGGCTAGAGCGGCGGTTCTGGCCAACGGACCCAGATCGGGGACACACGAACTTTGGAAGCTGGTGATTGCAGCGAGCTGCAAACAGATCCACTGTCGGGTTCAACATCGGAAGACACAAAGTCTGGAACACCTGCGGGTGCAGCTTCCACTCCGTCAGGGATGGTCGAACCGGGCAGGACAGTCAATCTGCAATGATGTTTTTCACACCTGGGATGTGATTGGCCAAGTGGAAAAACTGTTGTGTCCACTGAAGCAGCTGAGGAGACCCTGTGGATCCCATTCAATTGATGTGCCACACAACTGCAGCTTTGTCCAATCAAATCAAAAGCTTGGTTGATTGTAGAAGGTGTTGCCAATGAATGATTGCTAAAATCACTGCCCTGAACTCCAGAATGTTGATGTGGCACGCATGGTCTGCGATCGAGAAGGTGAGCTCCCCACCCTTGTAGAGAGTCGTCTACGTACAGGTGGTGAGTCGGGACGAACGGCCTTAAACAAACTCTGCCACAAACATTCAATTCGTCCATCTACCACTGGAGATGGGGATGGAGCACCAGAGGAAGAGCGATCAACACATGAAGATCGCCTACCCTGATGTGCGGAGCCAGAAAGAGTTGGAGAGAACGACGTTGAAGTTGACCCCTGAGATTGAAAGCCTGGGCCGATGTCAATAAACCCAGAAGCTCTTGCCATTGACGAAGAGTCCTGGGTCATCACAGCGCAAGGGGAACTAACTGCTTGATCTTGTTGAAACGTTCCTTGGAATAAAGACTTTGTTGAGCTCAGTGTTGAACACCGCCCATAAACCGCTGGTGGCGTGTGGGGACTAGTTCCGATTTCCGCACGTTCATGAGCCACCCTAATTGGCAAAGTAGCTGAATCATGAAATTCATGTGATGAAAAAGCAATAGAGCATGATCAGTCTGTGCCTGAATGCCAAACGGGAGGACACGCCCCAGGTAATGGGTGCCCTCGAAGATGAAGCGAAGAAACTTGCGGTGTTCCGGGCAGATTGGCACATGAAGGTAGGCATCTTGTAAGTGAAGGCTGATCACATAATCACCCGGTTGATCACAGTTTTCAGCACAACTGAAACCATCCGGAAATAAGGAGGTTGTTGCAAAAACATCTCCTTGAAAATCTTCATGTTGAAGATAAGGCGTAACTTGTCGGAGTCCTTCTGATGGACCAGGAATATGGGAGAATAGAATCCCGGATCGGGGACTCTACCAGAGTTTCTATGGTGGACCGTAGGACTGCAGTCTGATGAGCGGGATATCAGACTGCAGTCCTAGAGTGAGGTTGATCCGGAAGAACAGTCAGAGGCGGGTTGCTGATCAACGGGAGTCGAAACCCCCTGGGGTCAGAGTTGTGAAAACGTAAGGGTCACCCAAAATGATGCAATTTTGGGCATAAGTCCCCAGGCTTCTGCCTACCAGGGAATCCACTACCAGTACGACTGGGGGCGGAAGGTCCCAATCTGGCTGTGATGTCTACAAGTCATTGTTAACCAGCTCCCGACGCAGAGGGATGGTCAGGTCTGGTGGTTGATCGGGAAGCCGTGAAGGAGAGGCGCTGGCGATCTTAACGACCTCTGGAAAAGCCTTTCCAACGAAAGGAGCTGTCAGGCTCCGATCGGAGGTCCAGGTTGTTAGGGATGTATCTGGCTGGTTGACGCTGTCGCAGAGAATCTTCCACCTGCAACCATTGGAATTTCAACAGCTCGATCGAGACCTGTAGGTGGGCATCCTGCCAGACCCTGGTAGCTATGTCATGAATAGCACCACTGAACATAGATCTGCCAGACCAAGTATGACGAAAGAAGTCAGTGCAGAATCTGTCCATCCCAGGACGACAAATGTAGAGGTCCCTTGCGTCTAACCGCTGTTAAATACAGCTGATCAATGGTCTGAAACTGCTCCTGCACCAGAACCATTGACGCCTGAATAAATGCTGGGGGGGGGGGGAGAGAGGTCGCATGAGACACAGACATGGCTACCGCTTCCGCTGCTGTTAACACCATGTTAAAAGGAGCCAAAATCTTCCTTACAGCGCCATCCAAATGAGACAATTCCCTGTCTTCAACCAAGAAGGGGGAGTATGTACGCTGTTTAGTCCCCAGTAAAGGGATGTCGTCATCCACGGGGGATGATGTACATGGGCAGAAGCAAGATGAAATTGAGACATAGCAAATCCATCTTTGACCTTCACCCAGAGAAGCCGCCAGCTGAATGCAGGAACGAGGAGAAAAAGTAATAGAGCTCATATCAAAGCAGGTGAGAAGGTCCGATGGCGATCTGCTCCGAGATAAGTGTAGATTGTCTGCAATCCAGGTTAACAACTGGGGCGTCTCAACCGCATCCACGCTTGTATCAGACGTTGAGATACAATGACACGCAGGAGAAGGCGTGGCCGAGGGAAGTGCTTCATCCAAAGACGGAGCCGACACGGTCCTAGGACCAGCCGACTGTAACACAGGAACTGAGGGGTTCTGACCCAGCCCCGAAGCCACCGCTCTAACTATGGAATCAAAGTTGAAGGGTTGGGGTGCAGTAACATCTGAAGACGGATTCGAAGACATCGGAAGAATCGGTCTAGAAGTAGATGAATACGTAGTCACAGGCACTGATCTAGTGTCGGGTATAGGAGGATGAAGCGATGGAGCAAAAGGGAGCGCCGAACATCCCAAAGGTTGAGCCAAAGACGTAGCCTTAAGCGGCGCATTGGACATAAGCCTAACTGGTTGAAAGCGTCGCACTGGAAAGGGGCCCAGATCCAACAAAGAAGGTGTACCAGAGGATAACCCAGTAACAAAAGGAAGCGGTCCAAAGGAGCCGATGGATGAGATAGTTGACTAGACTGAAGCGACGCAATTGGGTAGGAAACATAAGGCATCGATGTTGTAGCATGAGACCCTGCAGTGTGTGGAAGTGTTGGACCATATGAAAGCGGTGCATGGGAGGAAAGCAGCGTTCCGTAAGCAAGTGTGTGGTGTTGAAAACGCCATACTGGATATGACCAATGCTCCGGTAGACAGTGTAGGAGGGTAGAGACCAGACCAACGCATAGAGAAAAAGCGCCGAACTAGATGAAAGCGGCACATTCGAGTGAACGCTCTGACTAAGCACACACACTGCAGGCGTGGGAAGCGTAGTACCCATCCCAAGCGGCGCACTGGAAACAATCGGAGGGCCCGTCGTAAAAACAAGTGCCTGGGAAATTGTAACTAATGCTGAAGGTCGAGACTGCGATGGAGAAGTAGTTAAAACTACCACTCTCGGGGAGAAACAGCCTGTGTAGTGACGAAATTCGATGTTTGAGGGCGAAAAAGTCGACGCAAATTTTCACTCAGATATGAATCATAAGACACCTCTAAAAAATCTTCGTCTGGTGATGGTGATTTATATTGTCTAACAGCCACTTTAGTACGGCGGTCCGTCTTAGCATGTTTGGTAGATGAAGGGCCCTCAGAAGGTCTACGTCGATCTCTATCTGCCATTCTTCTAGATCCAACCCGTCAATAAGCCGAGAAATCATCGTCGTCCAGGTGAGCACAAAAAGAATAACGGTGCAACTAGTCACACCATCCCACGCAATCCACACACAAAGTATGTGGATCGGCGGCTGAAAAGTTGTGCTTGCATTTCTCACAATGTTTCCATTTACGTGAAGAACTTCGATTAGAATTGCCCATGATAAAGCAATCAAATTCTGTTGTCTAACTGAGGGAACAGCACACGTCCACTCAGTGTAGCGACAGCAATGGGATGTCACGTGATCATCTGAGCGATTCTGCACACTTTTTAGAGATGATTGACAGGTCATGCTATCGGAGTGGGGGCAGAGGTCAGGTGGGTCAGAGGCCGTAAAGATTTGATTCAACTTAGCCTACAGCACGTTTCCACACATGGGTCGTAGAAGAAGAAGAGATGTGCATACCGTGCGATAGGATAAGTTTAAAAATTTGCTTTGAACAGTATTACATTTCTATCATTGACACAGCATCAGCTTGTGTGAAGAAAGCAGTGACACTGATAGTGATCAGCAGATCTGGCCCATCTGTGTAAGAGAATGGCTATGTCTGCAGGCTACCTGATCTTCTGTTCTGCTACAATGCGTGGGAAGGGCTTGATCCAGGGGATGCTGGGATGCACCCAATACAGGCAGCAGCTGTGGAAAGCTGAGGTGCGATCAGCATCACTGTGCCACTGACAACAAACAACATCACAAATTAATAACTTCCAGTAATGTCATCCTAGTTTGTGATTATTGGGAAGTAAGTGCTGTGGTTTCCAGATCTTGAACACTTGAAACTGAAGAAACTAAACATATAGGATGTATAACAGACTTAGAAACTGTCATCTCATCGTAATACAGATTACATTTAGCTGAGGACCTGTTATTCTATTTCTTCTGGGAGAAATGTTCCCAGCGTCCTCTTCACAGTTTCCTATTAGCAATCCTGTTAGATCCCTAAAGGGCAGGTTAACAGTCTGCTATTATCAGGAGATCCCTACAGGGCAGGTTAACAGTCTGCTATTAGCGGGAGATCCCTACAGGTTAACAGTCTGCTATTATCAGGAGATCCATACAGGGCAGGTTAACAGTCTGCTATTAGCGGGAGATCCCTACAGGTTAACAGTCTACTATTATCAGGAGATCCATACAGGGCAGGTTAACAGTCTGCTATTATCAGGAGATCCATACAGGGCAGGTTAACAGTCTACTATTAGTGGGAGATCCCTACAGGGCAGGTTAACAGTCTACTATTATCAGGAGATCCATACAGGGCAGGTTAACAGTCTGCTATTATCAGGAGATCCATACAGGGCAGGTTAACAGTCTACTATTAGTGGGAGATCCCTACAGGTTAACAGTCTGCTATTATCAGGAAATCCATACAGGGCAGGTTAACAGTCTGCTATTATCAGGAAATCCCTACAAGGCAGATTAACAGTCTGCTATTAGCGAGAGATCCATACAGGGCAGATTAACAGTCTACTATAAGGGGGAGATCCATACAGGGCAGGTTAACAGTCTGCTATTATCAGGAAATCCCTACAAGGCAGATTAACAGTCTGCTATTAGCGAGAGATCCATACAGGGCAGATTAACAGTCTACTATTATCAGGAGATCCATACAGGGCAGGTTAACAGTCTTCTATTATCAGGAGATCCATACAGGGCAGGTTAACAGTTTGCTATTATCAGGAGATCCATACAGGGCAGGTTAACAGTCTACTATTATCAGGAGATCCATACAGGGGAGGTTAACAGTCTACTATTAGTGGGAGATCCATACAGGGCAGGTTAACAGTCTACTATTAGCGGGAGAAGGCTGCAAGGCAGGTTAACAATTTCCTGTTTGCCAGGAATCCCTGCAGGGAAGGTGTTGTTGATGGAGTACCTGTTGCTGCCCCTGCACATGCTGGCTGAGAGCCCGTGCCTCCTCACTCATCTTCAGTTGGGTACACCATGCCAGAGATGCCTTCGACACAATCCTCATCTTCACCTTCAGGCTCCAGTCTAGTGGCAGGTGCTTGTGACACTGTACCCTGGGGTGTGGGGAGTTTGTCTTCATGGTGGGCTGGTCAGCAACTAACTCTGACAACTCAGTGTCATGCAGTTGCTCATTCCTATTGACTGCATGTGCCTGAAAAATGTTAATAATCAATGTAATCATGATTTGATACTATCAAAAGACAAGTATACACAAACCGCAGCTACAAACAACTTCTTTGAGTGGCATTTTAGAAGCTGGGAAGTACAATATAGACAAACTTATGGATATAACTTCTTTATTGCAAGAGTGTGACGGGTTTTTTTGGTACCCAGAGGGAAAAAGTCATGAGACTACAACCCTCTTCGTCTAACAGCTTGGGCAATACGGGTAATAATAATCAAGATTGTTTGGGTGCTTCGAACATGCATTGTGCATGGTGCAATGCACATGATAAATGGACTATAATCATTATGATATGTTGAAATTGGGTACCTGAAATTCAACCTGCTGTATTGTAAAATTTTAACTATAAATATGTAATTTTCTGAGTAAAATTGATATTTTATACTTATCCTGACTCATGTATTATTGCTTGTCTCCTTCCCTTCCCGAACGTTAGTGGAACACTTGTATCTCCTTTTTGAAGCTCCCTTCAATAAAGCAGACGTAAAATCACTACTCACCATGAGTTGTCTTCCTCTCAGTTTTGGCGGGAAAACGGCGCCACCCGTCTTCCCACGCTTCACTCTCTCCGAATAGCTAGCCCGACACTTCGATTTACAGGGAAATCCAAAGTGCCTAGCGGGGAGGTTGGGAGGGCTTACCCCATGAGTCAGGATAAGTATAAAATATCAATTTTACTCAGAAAATTACATATTTTTCCTTATCCTGACTCATGTATTATTGCTTGGTGGTGGGACAAGCCACTTCTGGATTCCAATTAGTGATTTACGTCTTGCATACCCCCTATGGGAACTTCCTGGTAGCACTTCAATTTACTGCTAGGCTCTGCTGCTGCTGTAACCCTTTACTTCCAGCTTTCTCTGATGGGGGACCACAATTGTTAACTTTTGGTCCTTGCTTCTGTTAACATTTTTATGTGGATTTTGCAACTCCATCTCTTGATGCAAGCATCAAGTGGAGAAGCGACCCTTTTATGTACGAGTACGTCCTTACAAGTACTGGGTCTTATCACTTATGCTAGTCTGTCTTAGACGTGCATATGGACTCTAAAGCTGTAACTCTCCTGAGTGTAGGCTTTTGCAAGTCATGTGATAAAAGGGCTGGAGACTCCGTCTCAGCCTTTGTGGAACTGTCAATTGTTGTGCTACAACAAGTGGGCCGAAATGGTGAATGCCAGAGACGTCCTCGGTGGCGATGTCTCTCAGGTAGTGGTTGGCAAACACCATGTCCGATTTCCAGAAGCAGCCCTCCATTATCGTTGTGATAGAGCAATTCCCATGTAGAGCGAGTGTTGGCCTTAAAGAGCTCTAATTTCATGTGGATTGGAGGCTCTTGGAGGATCAAGTCCTGCTGCTTTGTAGGCCCGTAGTATGACAGTTCTCATCCATATTGATATCGTAGTGCGAGAGATCTCCGTCTGTGTCGCTGTCGATATTGGGATGAAAAAACGCTTGAATTTTCGTCTCCTGGTCCTAGACCTTTGTAGGTAGACTTTCAATGCTCTTACTGGGCATAAGGATAGGTCCTGTGTATCCTGTGGCCCAAGGACTGATGATAGTGCTTGGATGTGGAATTGTCTGTCCGGTTGACCTGGCAGTGGATTCTTTGCTATAAAGTCCCATCTCAGTCCCCATATGCACGATGTTTCGATTTTCGTCAAATCGTGTCCTCTTGAAGTCTAGAGCATGTATTTCCGACATCCTTGCTGCTGTTGCTAAGGCGATCAGGAATAGAGTTTTCTGCGTCAAGAACTCAAAAGATGTCCTATCTAATGGTTCATAAGCGTCACTGGTGAGATGCCGTAGAACTATGTTCAGGTCCCGAGCCGGAGCTTTAAATCTCTGTTGTTGGTCCTCCAGTTTAAAAGAGCGTAGTAAGGCCAGTAACTCTGGTACCTTAGTCAGTTTTACACTTGTCCTCATAGTGATAACTGAGCTCAGTGCCGCTAGGTTTGTTGAGAGTGTTGACCCTTTCAACCGCTTCGTTTGTCTTAGGTGACAAAGATAGTCCGCCACTTGAGGGTGTGTCGCATTTATGGCTGTGAAGCCTGTTTTCAAAGCGTAGGTCTCGAAGCTTCGCCATTTATCGTCGTACAAGTTGGGTGTTGACTTGCGTAAAGCTAGCGTGACTGCTTTCGCTGCTCTGGCCGAATATCCTCTCTTATTCAAGCACGCCTTGATACGCTCCACGCATGTAGCCGGAACACCTGTGGGTTGCCGTGTGCTTCCTTGTGTGTGGATGTACTAGCAAGTTAAGTTCGTCCACTCTGGTAGTTGCAGTTGAGGCGGTCCTAGTTCTTGTATGAGAATGGGGAACCATATTCTCGCTGGCCAGTAAGGCGCGACCAAAATCAGTTGCAGGTTCTTCGTCTGTATGATTTTCTGCAACACTTTCGGTATTAGAGCTGGTGGTGGGAACGCGTAAGCGTTTAGTCCTTCCTAAGAGATGCTTAGAGCATCTGTTGCCCATGCTCGTGGATCTGGTATTGGAGAGACGAATGTTACCAGTTGATTGTTGAATCTTGTGGCAAAGAGGTCTATTAGTGGCGCTCCTATCTCTTGTATGATCTGTTTGAAGATCTCTGGATGTAGCATCCATTCTGTTGGGGATGGCTGCGTTGGCCGAGATAGTGCGTTGGCCGAGATAGTGCGTCTGCTATCACATTCTTGGCTCCTGGGATGTGTCATGCTTTTATGTGGATGTTCAGATTGTCTATTATGCTGAACAGTTGAAAGCAGAGGTTCAGAAGGTTCGCCGACCTTGTTGATCCTTGTCTGTTTATGTAGAACGCCACTGTGGAGTTGTCCGTGTGTACCGTTAGATGAGCATTCTTTAAAATGCTGGTCCAGTGGAGTATGGCGTTTATCACTGCTTTCATTTCCAGCATGTTGATGTGCAGATCTTTCTCGTCTATTGTCCATTTCCCAGCTGACACTTCGTTGTCGAGGTGTGCTCCCCAACCTTGGAGAGATGCGTCCACATAGAGATGCGTCTTGCACTTCGGCTCTGCTAAGTAGGTGCCTCCGCAAACATTCGATCTCTGAGTCCACCATATTAGATATGGTTTTAGTCTGTCCGGGAGTCCGAAGGGGTCCGGATCGCCCAGATGTACATTCACGAAGACCTGTAGTGGGCGTAGTTGTAATCTCCCTCTGCGCGTCATATCCTGTGCTGATGTGAGGAGACCCAACAGGCTCTGCCACTGTCGTAGTGGCCACGGAGAGAGTAGAGCTTGCGATACCATCTGTTGTATCTCTAGCCACTATGATAAAGTTGTTTAATGATGACTACACACACTAGTGTACAACTTGGTGAGAACGATCTATGCCCAAGGAAAGTAGAACGAAGTTGTAACCAATACATCCTTATTTACTATTTACAAGGTAACTTGAACTTCGTATGCGAAGGGTGCCCCAATCTGCCGATGATAGTTGCTGCACCAGGACCAAAGAAAGGTCCAAACTGGTGGAGACCCTGTACATCAGTCACTGAGATGCCTCGTAGATAGCGGGAAGTGAAGACTGTTTCAGATTTCAAAAACACCCCTCCATGATTGATGGTAGTTGCTGTGAAGAACCATCGTGGAATCCAAGGCCCGAGTCTCATGAGGGTTCGATGTGGCTGCAGGGGAAAAACCAGCTAAGGTGTAGGCCTGCAGGATAGTTGACTGCATCCAAAAGGTCAAGACAGTACAGGAGACTTCCACCGATGATGCTGTAGGTAACGGGATGGAGAGATGTTAGCGGAGTCTGCGACGCTCTTGTGAAGCAACCAATGTATATTCTCAAAGCTCTCACTGGGCAAAGAGAAAGGTTCAAGTATGGTCGACAAATATGGAATGTTAAATAGCCTTTCTGGTTGTCCCAGCAGTTGATTTTTCACAATGAAATCCTAGAGAAGGCCCAGAAAAACTTTGCCATGTCTCTTCTCAAACCATACCTGGTTCACATGCAATGCCTAGAGTTCTGATATACGAGCAGCAGTGGCCAAGGCTACCGGGAAGTATGTCTTGAAGGTCAGTTGATCCAAGGGCTCATAGTCATCGGAAACTAGGTGTTGTAGAACAATCGACTAATCCCAAGCCGGGGAACAGAACTTCTTAGACTGGTCCACCAGTATATAAGAGCGTAGGAGAGACTAGAGTTCCGACACAGTCGAGATCTTGTTCCCCGTAGTTGTCGGTATTACAGAGTTAATGGCTGCTAGGTAGCTTGCCAGGGTAGAAGCCTTTAGCTTCTTAGATAAGCGCAATTGTTGAAGGTATTCAGTGATCTCATTGGCTGAAGCTGTAATGGGAGACAGAATATCATGCACTCTGCAATAACTTCAAATTTCCGTCCACTTATCATTGTAGAGAGATCTAGTGGAGGTACCATGGGCTGAAGTAATAGCCAAAGCTACTCATCTGGAGTATCCCTTGACGATTAGAATCTTTGTAAATGCGCCAGGCGTGAAAGCGGAACGTCTGTCGAGATCCATGTTGTTGGTCTGAATGAGGATGGGTTAACACATTGCCTCTGTTGGGTAGAGCTACTGGCGGAGGATCGGTGAGAAGTAACAGGTCGACGAACCAACTTCGAGCTGGTCAATAAGGCGTGACCAAAAGCAGTGTTATCTTCTTGGTGGACCATAGCTTTTGTAGTACCTGAGGTAGAAGGGCTGGTGGTGGAAACATGTAAGCATTTAGGTATTTCCCTGATATGGTGAGAGCGTCTTGATCCCACGCCAGTGGGTCTGGGATAGGTAAAACGAATCTGGGTAGCTGATTGTTGAACCTGGTTGCAAAGAGGTCGACTTGGGGATGCGCGAGTGGGAGACAAACGTATTGGAAGATCTGTGGATGTATCATCTCTGGATGTGGTCGGAATACCATAGAGAACTGCCTTGAACTTGAGTTCAATGTGATGTTCGTTGATGTGAGGAGATTGCTCTTCTAGTGACCACAGCCCTGCCGCTTGATGCTCACGAAGGTGAGCTCCCCAACCTTGGAGTGACGCGTCCATGAACAGGTGATGAGTGGGGTTGAACAGTGTCAAACAAACTCCTCCACAATAGTTCGATACATCAAGCCACCAAGAGATATGTGGATGGAGTGACGAAAGTAGACTAGATATTCTATAGTGCTAGTATCCAGTTTAGTAACTGCTCTGAAGCATTATGTTTCGGTGCAAAAGTGGGTTTTCAGCTGAAAAGTAATCGGGTTGCATTTTGACATTGCTGAAGCTTGTTAGACAAGGTGTTTCAGGATACCGTACAGCAATGCATTGCAGTAAACCAGGTGCAACAACACATAGAGACTAGAGTGGCAGCAGTCTTTACATTCAGGAATCTTCCTACTTGGCTGATGTTTCTGATGTTATAGAGTGTAATTTTACAGACTTTTGAAATGTGAGATTCTGCACTTAGAGATAAGTCAAAGGCAAAACCGAGGATGCGTGCTTTGAGAAAGTTTGTGGTCATCCACACCTTGATATTGTCCACGCATAGCATTATGCAATCGAAAGCATTCTGGACCGACAGGGTCTCTGATGGTTTGAATGCTAGATAAAGCTGAGGATCATCATCATAAATGTGGAATGACAGATGATGTACCCTTGCAATGTCCCATATGAGTCCACTGATTGCAGTAAGCTGAGAAGCTCCTGCCATTGACGTAATGACCTCTCATGAGACAGCACTAGAGGCACCAAAATGTTGTATCTTGGTACATCTGTCCTGGGGAACAAACATCTTGTCAAGATGTGTGTCGAAGATGGCCCCAATGAATTGTAGACGCTGTGTTGAAATCAACTCTGATTTCTTGATGTTGACAATCCATCCCAGTTGGTGAAGTAGTTGGGTGGTGAATCGTGGATGAGGCTCTTGAGAGGCATTTAGAAATAAAAACGCAAATATTATGGATGTCAACTCCTTCTTTATTGTATGTCACAACGGTTCAGGGCTATTCCTTGCCCCTTCATCAGGTGAATTGCATTTTACTTGAATCGGAGATGTCGATGGAGGACCTGAGGGTCTGCCTGGGCTTGAATGCAGTCGTCGATGTAAGCCTCAAAGACAATGCCCCAGCAACGAAGGAATGGGGTTCGTATTGCGGGTAAATAGCCACAGGGCCATAGAAATGGCAAATGGGAGTACACTCCACTGATAATGAATGCCTTGGAAAACAAAGCGCAGAGACTTCGATAATCTGGCAAAATCGGGACATGCAGGAACATGTCCTGCAAGTCAAGCTGATCATAATGTCTCCTGGTTTCAAGATCAGGCACAGAAGAGCCCACTGTGCTCCATCATGGAAGAGGAAGATCATCAAGTTTTCTTGGTTGGTCTGTCTTTCTCAGATGTCTTGGTGCAGAGGTAACATGTTCATCCGACTTGAAATGGGAGTCTCTATCCGTGAGGCGTCTGGTCCTCGGCTTTCTTGCAGACTGAGGAAGGTTTAGTCGTCAAGCTCCTAGCAATAGCTGCACCTATCAATGCATGAAGGGTGAAGGTCGGACTTGGAGAAAACATTCTTGCATTAAGGAATGGTTTTCCTCTTCCTTGACGAAGAATGATGCTTTCCCATTGTGACAAAGTATTAAACGGAAGTCACTTCAGTGACAGTAGTACAGTACGTCTGCACAGCTGCGTGACAAGAAAGAGACCGGAAGGGCGTGCTGCATGCTTCACAGAGGTTTCAGGATTCCAGGAAAGGAAGCAGTGGGGCATGTTCAGGCCAATAGTACAAGAGAGGCCAAACACTTCATTAGCATTTAGTTTCCACTCAGCTGTCGATTCATGAGAAAGAAAGAGTGTACAAATCGTGGGAAAGGATAAGTTTTCAAAATTTAACATTTTATGCACTTTAGATGTATTTTGAAAAGAAATATTCTTAAGAACACCACCAATTCAATGCACCATTTAATAAAGATTTCAGAGTCTGAATAATAAAACAAGAAAAAATTGTGTCCAGGGACACAGATGGCCCCGCTGACATTCATAAGACATATATAGATCAATAATTGAACAAAATTCACGAACAAGTTCAATAAACATCTATGCAACTAGGACATGCACACATTTCGAGTTTCAATGAAACACATGTATAAGCTTAATCAATTCTGTTGAGCAGTTTTTGTGGAGAAGTTGATAGACTTCATCCCCTATAACACTATATTCAGAGAGAAATTCAACAAAATTTATTCAAGTTTAAACGGCATTAAAATTGGAAAAATAAATAAAATCTAAAATCAAAATATGAGATGCACACCTTTAGAGTCCCTATAAAGCACATGTGTAATCTAAATGAATTCCATAAAGTAGTTTTTGAGGAGAAGTGGATAACGTACACCCCCTGTTGTATGGGACGAACTGGATGAATAGAACCAAATTCAACTAAGTTCAAACATCTGTAGAAGTGACAAAATGAAGAAATTGGATGAACAAGGTATGAGATGCACACCTTTAGAGTTCCAATGAAACACACGTAGAAGCTCAATCAATTCTGTTGAGCAGCTTTTGTGGAGAAGTGGAAAGACTTCACCCCCTACAACACTATATTCAGAGAGAAATTCAACAAAATTGACCTAAGTTCAAACGGCATTAAAATTGAAGAAATGAATAAAATACAAAATCAAAATATGAGATGCACGCCTTTAGAGTCCCTATAAAGCACATGTGTAATCTAAAAGAATTCCATAAAGTAGTTTTTGAGGAGATGTGGATAACGTACACCCCCTGTTGGATGGAACGAACACTGGCTGAATAGAACAAAATTCAACTAAGTTCAAACATCTGTAAAAGTGACAAAAGTAAGAAATTGCATAAAAAATTATGAAATGCACACCTTTAGAGTCCCTACAAAAGACATGTAGAAGTTCATTCAATTCTGTTGAGCAGTTTTTGTGGAGAAGTGGATAGACTTCATCCCCTATTACACTCTCATCATAGAGAAATTCAGCAAAATGTACCTAAGTTCAAATGTCTCTAAACTTACAAAAAAACCCAATAAAATAGAAAAACAAAATATGAGATGCACACCATTAGAGTCCCAAGAAAGCCCATGTATAAGTTCATTGAATTCCACAGAGTGGTTATGGTGGAGAAGTGGATAGAATACATTCCCTGTTTCGTACGGACGGACAGAAGGACAGACGGACGGACACCGAGGGTAACCCTATATGCCCCTGCCATATATGGCGGGGGCATAAAAACTTAATGGTTAAATGAGCGCTAAAAATACTGAACAGACATTTCTGTAAACAATAAATAAAACAAGAGAGAGCACACAACCCTGAGGGGCTCCTGTGGATGTGAAGGTAAAAAATATAGATCATTATTTGCTCTGTGGGCAAACTGAAGTGGATCAAGTAAATGTCCTGTCAATATGCATTTCATACATACAGATGTTAGTTTCACAGCACATCTTCTGGGTGATCCCTCGCTTGTCTGCCACTTCTGCTCATCTTGAAAGTTAGCCAGGCTTCTCTCTCCATCACCGCCGTCGGACGTAGCATGTGGATTGTGGCTGCTACCGTCCTCACAAATCGATGCATCATTCTCTCTCTACAACACATTTCATCAAGACTGTACAATGGAGAGTGAGGTCAAATGCATAAGTAGCTAACTACATTCTGCGCGTACAAGTTACATCGTACCTGGTTTAAGTTATTGCCCCAATCCTGATATTTCAGATATATCAATACAATTTGTCCTCATTATCAATACTGTTACAACTTAGGAACTGCAATAAATGTTATACTTTAATTTGTAGAAAGCATGAAACTTAAAAACTGATTAAAATATGTGTTGGTTTTCATCAAGTTACATTGACTGTGATCAGTCATTAATTCAGAGAGGTGACGTGATTAACCCACAGACCACCATAATAAAAAGAAAACATCATCCCATGAGAACTGTTGAGGAAATTATGTCGAGAATGCTAGGTGCCAAGCTGTTCACTGTTCTTGACGCAGAGTCTGGATTTTGGCTGATTCAACTTGATGAAAGCAGTTAAAGGTTGTGTACCTTCAATACCCTGTTCGGCAGATACCGATTCACTTGACTGCCTTTCGGAGTGAATTTTGCCGCCGGAGGTATTTCAGGGAACAATGTCACAGATGCTGGAAGGTTTGTCAGGCACAGAATGTATTGTTGGTGACATTTTGGTGTGGGGTACAGACGTACAGAATACAGCAGGGCTCCAGATAATATTTCAACATTAGGTGTACGTACTCCTTAATTTTTCAATATAGGAGTACTGGAAAATCTTAAGAGTACATATAGAGTACTGACTGGGAGTTAATGGTGTATCAGTAATCTTGTGTTTCGTTTCGTATATGCACCACAATTTTGCTACTCTTGTGTAAACAGGTCAATAAACAATAATACAATACTTTTTCAGATAAATATGTCTGTAAATGATTCTAAGACCGTACACCATTGCTGTGGTGCGTATCTGCTACGTTGTTTATATTATTTCCTACCGTATCTTGCATATTTTTTATCCGTACATACGCTGATACGGCCCTTATCTGGAGCCCTGATACAGTCAAGTGGTCTGAAATTCAATGTAAAAAAATGCAAGCTGAGAATGACGGAGGTTGCATATGTAGGGCATCTTCTGGGACTGAAGCCAGATCCTGAAAATGTGGAAGCTATTCGAGAAATGCTGGAGCCTGAAAACAAAACAGATCTGATGAAATTCCTCGGTATGATACAGTATCTGGGAAAGTTCATACCAAATCTCTCCAGTGAAACTGCAGCTCTACGAGAGTTATTGCCAAAAGACATTGCATGGCACTGGGAAGAAAGGCAGGGAACACGAATTTGAAACAAAGGGTGACAGAGACTCCAGTACCACAGTACCTGGATGTACTGTAGCATTCCAGATTGCCACATCAAATGACTCACATCTACAACAGCTGAAATCTGTGATTCTGTGCGGATGGCCAGAAAACAGAAATGATGTTCCACAAGTGCGAGAGACTACTTGAATATTCGTGATGAACTAACAGTTGTTGACGACCTCATCTTCAAAGCCCACAAAGTTGTAGTTCCTACAACACTTCAAACAGAGATGTTAAACGGAATTCATGATGCTCATTTCGTGTGACTAAGGGCATACTCAGAGCCAAAGATGTAATCTTCTGGCTAGGAATGACTGTTCAAACTGAAGAATTTGTATCACGATGTAATCTGAAACAAGCATTGAAAAGCCATGAAATTCCTGATAGACTGTGGGCCAAAGTCGCAGCCGACATGTTTATGTACAAGAACACTGACTATCTGTAGTGTGTAGACTATTTCTCAAAGTACCCTGAAATTGTGAAATTGTCTGACCTATCCAGTAAAACGACAATCACAGCAGCAACATCTATATTTGCCCATCACGGATAACGAACCACAGTTTGCGAGTGCAGAGTTTTGTAACTTTGGTCTATAATGGGACCTCGAACACACAACATTAAGTCCGGCATACCTACAATCAAACGGACAAGCTGTGCAGACAGTTCAGACAGTACAGAAACACACCAGTTGACATGGTCAACCTATCTCCAGATCAAATGTTAATGAATAGGTGCCCGAAGAGTCGATTACCTGTGTCCCATGCTTTGCTGAAACCTCAGATACAGGACCAGAAACAGCTACAGAATCATCTGAAAGCATGTTAGGACCAGCAAAAGTACTACTACGACAGCGGTAGTAGAGAGTTACCTCCCTTGACTCCCGGGCAACACGTCAGGATTCAAGAAAAGCAGTCATGGAAACCTGGAGTTGTCAAATCAGTTGATGATTCATCAGTCCTACAATGTAACGACATCAGATGCAAGACAGTATTGACGACTTTGCCACCATCTGCGTACAACTACTGCGAATCCAACAGCTCAGCTAAGTTAAAACTGTGAAGAGACTGTGAACTGTCTGATACAGATAATGAATCTGAGACTACAGACACTGTCTGTAACCAAACTACTAGTTCCTGACAGAAAATCAACATGCCAGAATGATACTGAGGGTGATATTGAGAACTATGGTGGAAAGTGCTCCATGAAAAGAAAGATGATATGTGTAAATGTTGAATTTCAGATTAAACAAGTTGAACTGTGTTAATTGCTAGAAAGCATATTTCATTATTTCTTTCAAAGTTTGAAGAAGTTAAAGAGTTTATCTTCTAAGTCTGCAAATTCATTTTCATGCACTGTTAAAATTTAAAGAAAATATGAGTCATTCTCAATATTTGTGCATATTTATGTTATATGATTGTACCCGACAAACTTAAGTCAAAATCAATAAATTTTTTATGGTAACTAATTTATCTCAATTTATTCTACACTTTACAGTAACAAACTTTGGAAAAAAATACTTTTATATTTATTTTAAAACCCCAAAACCACCCAATTTTCATGTGTCACAACTCCAGTGGCTGATGTGCAAGTTGTTGTTTTTTTGTCTTTTTCATGTTTTTCAAAAGGCATTTTTAAACATATCATAATTAATGATGCCACAGCTACATGCTTGGCGTGGTTTGTCATGACTGTCAAACACGGACACAAAACAATCATTTTTCTGAATTTTATCGCAGAAAAGGTGTGAACAAAATGATATCTGAGATTTTTGCATGTCATGGTGGCTGCCGCTGAAACCAATTAATTTTGTGAAGCCAAACAACACCTACAATCCGTTTGACTTCATTTGTGACCGATGAATTACTAACACAAAATCCGAATAAATGCAACAAAACCAAATTTTGCACACTCACATGAAATCGACAGACCAACTCTGATGATTTGTTTCATAATTTTGGACACCGGATAAAAATGTACATTTTTTGCCTACATGAAATATGCATGAATTTTGAGAATGACTCATATATGTTCATGGACTTTGAAGAAATTTGGATTGTAAGAATTGGATATAATAATGAATTGAACTTAATAATGAATATATAATTGAGTTTATGTGAATTTGGTAATTCAAGTTCCAAATAATATAAACTCTGTGTATATATAGACTACAATAATGCCTCTTGCAGTTTTCTAATGAAGGGAGATGTAATCAAATTGACTTTTCGTGGATGTGCACATAAAGTGTGACTACACTTTTTGTGATGTAGGACGTGTCTTATTGCATAATATGCAATACACATAGTAATGGCTGTGCCTCGTGTCATGTCATAATTTAAACCTTGTGAAACATATTTAATTTTTGGGACTCTGTGGTTCAGTATGGCTCAACTGCAGGACAAATGAAGACTAACAAATAGTAACATACTAACCTATGTTAAGCCTTAGGTTTGTTCTATTTTGTTGACCATATATAAACTTTATAAGCTCAAATTCATTATTTCAAGTGCTTTATTAAATGAAATAAGTATTTGCTAATGTAGATATGTGAATACGACAGGTAAATATAATTATCTATGGACATAACTTTGGGGTACAAAAATAGAGAATTTGGAGTATAACATCACAAGGGTTTACCATAAATTTGTTCTGAAGTACACTCTTCCTCTACCGCCATCTATCTACGACATGGGGAGGAGCTCTTAGTCTTAGACATACCTCATTCACAACATCTAACGCCTTAAAGAATTCTTTGGGATCCTCTTTAAGATTATTCCCATGATTCGGCCTCTTGTTGTGGTCTGACGTACAGCCAAACGGGTTCTTCCTCTTGCTGACTGGACGATGACAAGCTGATCTCGAATTCAGCAATGCAGACGACAGTTCAGTGGGGTCGTGGATAGTTTTTCTACGAGCTAGAGTTCGCCGTTTGATATTTCGAACTTTCATCACATCAGACGGATTCTTCCATTTTGGTGAACCTTCGGTGGCAGACATTTAGGCGAATGAATGAAATCAGCTTGCATATATATGATGTCCCTTATCAACTATTTTCACAATACTCGACTCACTTTGGTTCACAAATCCCGCCTGGTGTAAGGTGACTAGAAAACTTGGAATGTTTTGTTGTTGTTTTAGATGGAAGACGATAATCGTGTCAATGGGTCAGCTTTAACTGAATATAATGACGCCCTCGGAACAACTATAAAACATATACTTCGACCTTTTAATCATACTGATGGCATTTTTAACATTTGAAACATTATATAGAACCACGTAGATCCATCAACAAAACGCAGCCAAGTTTTACATTAAACAGTAAGACCTTGACCTTTGTCTTATCGGGAAATACCGAAGATCCGCTTGGTAGTTCTCGAAAGTTTTCGTTCATTATAACTGTTTATAATGGGTGTCAGTGTAGAGATTCATTCTGATTTTGGCTATGTGGTTTTAGTCATCGTGGCTACATGGGTTTTGCTGAACTGGCTTGGACTACAAGTTGTAAAGGCAAGACGAAAGTATGAAGTCCAGGTGGGAATGTTGGTTTCTTTCAGTTTGGGCACTCACCCGAGACACCTGTCGGTGGTTGTAGGTTGTCCTCGTGTTGATTGTCGGTAATGTTTACAGAGCTTTACATTCATAATGAAACAGTACTGTTCCCACTGGTCGGCAGCTTGTCCGACTTCGATGATCCAGAATTCATAAGGAACCAATTGACCATGCGCCTTGGAAGATTGAGTATATCTTAATTGCACTGCTTTTTTCATGGATCCAAGAACTAAGAATAAAGTCTGGGTAACTTACCTTGACAAGACACACTTGCAGGACTGGCCATTGGATGGGGTTGGTGCCAGGACTGTTGCTGTCCCACATTTTCTGTACCATTGGTTTCATGGTCGCTCCGATTAAATAAATAATAAATAAATACCACACAGACCCTCCCCTCTCACCACACAGACCCTCCCCTCTCACCACACAGACCCTCCCCTCTCACCACACAGACCCTCCCCTCTCGCCACACAGACCCTCCCCTCTTACACACAGACCCTCCCTAGTTCATATGAATAAACTCAGATTCCAGCCAAGGCCTACATCGAGCACACCTTGGTATTGTGCAAAGTCGTCTAGTTATATGCTGACTAAGACCCTCACCTCTAAGACCCTCCCTCTCACCACACAGACCCTCCCTCACACACAGACCCTCCTCTCACCACACAGACCCTCCTCCCACAGACTCCTCCTCTCACCACAGACCCTCCCCTCTACCACAGACCCTCCTCTCTCACCACACAGACCTCCCTCTCACACACACTCCCCAGACCTCCCTCTCACCACACAGACCCTCCCCTCACCACACAGACCCTCCTCCCTCTCACCACACAGACTCCTCCCTCTCCCTCACCACAGACCCTCCCTCCTCCCCTCACACCACACAGACCCTCCCTCACCTCAGACCACACACAGACCCTCCCCTCTCACCACACAGACCCTCCCTCACTCACACAGACCCTCCTCTCTCACCACACAGACTCCTCCCTCACCACACAGACCCTCCCCTCTCACCACACAGACCCTCCCCTCTCACCACACAGACCCTCCTCTCACCACATACAGACCCTCCCTCTCACCACACACAGGACCTCCTCCCTCACCACACAGACTCCTCCCCTCCTCTCACACAGACCCTCCCTCACCACACAGACCCTCCTCTCACCACACAGACACCTCCCTCACCACACAGACCCTCCCTCTCACCACACAGACCCTCACCACCCCTCACCACACAGACCCTCCCCCCTCACCACACAGACCCTCCCTCTCACACACACAGACCCTCCTCTCACTTACCACACAGACTCCTCCCCCCTCACACACACAGACCCTCCCTCTCACTCACACAGACCTCCTCTCACCACACAGACCCTCCCTCACTCACACAGACCCTCCCTCTCACCACACAGACCACAGACCCTCCCTCACCACACACACAGACCCTCCCCCTCACACACACAGACCCTCCCCCTCACCACACACACTCCTCCCTCCTCACCACCCTCCCCTCACCACACAGACCCTCCCTCACCACACAGACCCTCCCTCACCTCACCACACAGACCCTCCCCCTCACCACACAGACTCCTCCCTCCTCACCACACAGACCCTCTCCCCTCTCACCACACAGACCTCCCCTCTCACCACACACAGACCCCCTCTCACCACCACAGACCCTCCCCTCACCACACACAGACCCTCCCCTCTCACCACACAGACCCTCCCCCTCACCACACAGACCCTCCCTCCCCTCACCACACAGACCCTCCCCCTCACACACAGACCCTCCCCCTCACCACACAGACCCTCACCCTCACACACAGACCCACTCAGCTATAATTTTGTTTTGTAGAGTTTATATTGTTATTATTCTTGTGTAATCCCTCTCACCACTGACCAGTGGTCAACAGACCCATCTGTCCATGTCAATTCTACCACAGTGGTCCTCTCATCTGTCCATGTCAATTCTACCAGTGGTCAACTCATCTGTCCATGCTCAATTTACCAGTGGTCAACTCATCTGTCCATGTCAATTTACCAGTGGTCAACTCTATCTGTCCATGTCAATTTCTTACTCAGTGGTCAACTCTTATCTGTCCATGTCAATTCTACTCAGTGGTCAACTCATCTGGTCAGTTTACCAGTGGTCAACTCATCTGTCCATGTCAATTTACCAGTGGTCAACTCCATCTGTCCATGTCAATTTCTAGTGTCAACCACCCTGTCCATGTCTACCAGTGGTCAACTCATCTGTCCATGTCAATTTACCAGTGGTCAACTCATCTGTCCATGTCAATTTACCAGTGGTCAACTCATCTGTCCATGTCAATTTTACCAGTGGTCAACTCATCTGTCCATGTCAATTCTACCAGTGGTCAACTCATCTGTCCATGTCAATTTACCAGTGGTCAACTCATCTGTCCATGTCAATTTTACTCAGTGGTCAACTCATCTGTCCATGTCAATTTACCAGTGGTCAACTCATCTGTCCATGTCAATTTTACCAGTGGTCAACTCATCTGTCCATGTCAATTTACTCAGTGGTCAACTCTCATCTGTCCATGTCAATTTACCAGTGGTCAACTCATCTGTCCATGTCAATTTACTCAGTGGTCAACTCATCTGTCCATGTCAATTTACCAGTGGTCAACTCATCTGTCCATGTCAATTTACCAGTGGTCAACTCATCTGTCCATGTCAATTTACTCAGTGGTCAACTCATCTGTCCATGTCACTTACCAGTGGTCAACTCTATCTGTCCATGTCAATTCTTACCAGTGGTCAACTCCATCTGTCCATGTCAATTTACCAGTGGTCAACTCCATCTGTCCATGTCAATTTACCAGTGGTCAACTCCATCTGTCCATGTCAATTTACCAGTGGTCAACTCATCTGTCCATGTCAATTTACCAGTGGTCAACTCATCTGTCCATGTCAATTTACTCAGTGGTCAACTCATCTGTCCATGTCAATTTACCAGTGGTCAACTCCATCTGTCCATGTCAATTTTTACCAGTGGTCAACTCATCTGTCCATGTCAATTTTACCAGTGGTCAACTCATCTGTCCATGTCAATTTTACCAGTGGTCAACTCATCTGTCCATGTCAATTTAACAGTGGTCAACTCCATCTGTCCATGTCAATTTACTAGTGGTCAACTCATCTGTCCATGTCAATTTACCAGTGGTCAACTCATCTGTCCATGTCAATTTACCAGTGGTCAACTCATCTGTCCATGTCAATCTACTACCAGTGGTCAACTCATCTGTCCATGTCAATTTTACCAGTGGTCAACTCATCTGTCCATGTCAATTTACCAGTGGTCAACTCATCTGTCCATGTCAATTTACCAGTGGTCAACTCATCTGTCCATGTCAATTTTACCAGTGGTCAACTCATCTGTCCATGTCAATTTTACCAGTGGTCAACTCTCATCTGTCCATGTCAATTTACCAGTGGTCAAACTCATCTGTCCATGTCAATTTTACCAGTGGTCAACTCATCTGTCCATGTCAATTTTACTCAGTGGTCAACTCATCTGTCCATGTCAATTTACTCAGTGGTCAACTCATCTGTCATGTCCAGTGGTCAACTCATCTGTCCATGTCAATTTACAGTGGTCAACTCCATCTGTCCATGTCAATTTACCAGTGGTCAACTCATCTGTCCATGTCAATTTACCAGTGGTCAACTCATCTGTCCATGTCAATTTACCAGTGGTCAACTCATCTGTCCATGTCAATTTACCAGTGGTCAACTCATCTGTCCATGTCAATTTACCAGTGGTCAACTCATCTGTCCATGTCAATTTACCAGTGGTCAACTCATCTGTCCATGTCAATTTTACCAGTGGTCAACTCATCTGTCCATGTCAATTTACCAGTGGTCAACTCATCTGTCCATGTCAATTCTACCAGTGGTCAACTCATCTGTCCATGTCAATTTTACCAGTGGTCAACTCATCTGTCCATGTCAATTTTACCAGTGGTCAACTCATCTGTCCATGTCAATTTACCAGTGGTCAACTCATCTGTCCATGTCAATTTACCAGTGGTCAACTCATCTGTCCATGTCAATTTACCAGTGGTCAACTCCATCTGTCCATGTCAATTTACCAGTGGTCAACTCATCTGTCCATGTCAATTCTTACCAGTGGTCAACCTCATCTGTCCATGTCAATTTTACCAGTGGTCAACTCATCTGTCCATGTCAATTTACCAGTGGTCAACTCATCTGTCCATGTCAATTTACCAGTGGTCCACTCTCATCTGTCCATGTCAATTTACCAGTGGTCAACTCCATCTGTCCATGTCAATTCTACCAGTGGTCAACTCATCTGTCCATGTCAATTTACCAGTGGTCAACTCCATCTGTCCATGTCAATTCTACCAGTGGTCAACAACTCATCTGTCCATGTCAATTTACCAGTGGTCAACTCCATCTGTCCATGTCAATTTACTACCAGTGGTCAACTCATCTGTCCATGTCAATTCTACTTCAGTGGTCAACTCATCTGTCCATGTCAATTTACCAGTGGTCAACTCATCTGTCCATGCCAATTTACCAGTGGTCAACTCATCTGTCCATGTCAATTTACCAGTGGTCAACTCATCTGTCCATGTCAATTCTACCAGTGGTCAACTCATCTGTCCATGTCAATTTACCAGTGGTCAACTCATCTGTCCATGTCAATTCTACCAGTGGTCAACTCTATCTGTCCATGTCAATTTACTCTCAGTGGTCAACTTCCATCTGTCCATGTCAATTTTTACCAGTGGTCAACTCTTATCTGTCCATGTCAGTTTCTTACTTCAGTGGTCAACTCATCTGTCCATGTCAATTTACCAGTGGTCAACTCATCTGTCCATGTCAATTTTACCAGTGGTCAACTCATCTGTCCATGTCAATTTACCAGTGGTCAACTCATCTGTCCATGTCAATTTACCAGTGGTCAACTCCATCTGTCCATGTCAATTTACTCAGTGGTCAACTCATCTGTCCATGTCAATTTACCAGTGGTCAACTCCATCTGTCCATGTCAATTTACCAGTGGTCAACTCCATCTGTCCATGTCAATTTACCAGTGGTCAACTCCATCTGTCCATGTCAATTTACTCAGTGGTCAACTCTATCTGTCCATGTCAATTCTTACCAGTGGTCAACTCATCTGTCCATGTCAATCTTACCAGTGGTCAACCTTTATCTGTCCATGTCAATTTACTAGTGGTCAACTCATCTGTCCATGTCAATTTTACCAGTGGTCAACTCATCTGTCCATGTCAATTTACCAGTGGTCAACTCCATCTGTCCATGTCAATTTACTCAGTGGTCAACTCCTATCTGTCCATGTCAATTTACCAGTGGTCAACTCATCTGTCCATGTCAATTTACCAGTGGTCAACTCCATCTGTCCATGTCAATTTCTACTTCAGTGGTCAACTCATCTGTCCATGTCAATTTACCAGTGGTCAACTCATCTGTCCATGTCAATTTACTCAGTGGTCAACTCCATCTGTCCATGTCAATTTACCAGTGGTCAACTCTATCTGTCCATGTCAATTTTACCAGTGGTCAACTCCATCTGTCCATGTCAATTTACCAGTGGTCAACTCATCTGTCCATGTCAATTTACTACTAGTGGTCAACTCATCTGTCCATGTCAATTCTACCAGTGGTCAACTCATCTGTCCATGTCAATTCTACTCAGTGGTCAACTCTATCTGTCCATGTCAATTTACCAGTGGTCAACTCATCTGTCCATGTCAATTTACCAGTGGTCAACTCCATCTGTCCATGTCAATTTTACCAGTGGTCAACTCTTCATCTGTCCATGTCAATTTACCAGTGGTCAACTCCCATCTGTCCATGTCAATTTACCAGTGGTCAACTCCATCTGTCCATGTCAATTTACTCAGTGGTCAACTCATCTGTCCATGTCAATTTACCAGTGGTCAACTCATCTGTCCATGTCAATTCTACTCAGTGGTCAACTCCATCTGTCCATGTCAATTCTACCAGTGGTCAACTCCCATCTGTCCATGTCAATTTACCAGTGGTCAACTTCCATCTGTCCATGTCACAATTTACTCAGTGGTCAACTCTTATCTGTCCATGTCAATTTTACTCAGTGGTCAACTCATCTCTGTCCATGTCAATTTACCAGTGGTCAACTCATCTGTCCATGTCAATTTACCAGTGGTCAACTCATCTGTCCATGTCAATTTACCAGTGGTCAACTCCATCTGTCCATGTCAATTCTACCAGTGGTCAACTCCATCTGTCCATGTCAATTTACTCAGTGGTCAACTCATCTGTCCATGTCAATTTACCAGTGGTCAACTCCATCTGTCCATGTCAATTTACCAGTGGTCAACTCCATCTGTCCATGTCAATTTACCAGTGGTCAACTCATCTGTCCATGTCAATTTTACCAGTGGTCAACTCCATCTGTCCATGTCAATTTACCAGTGGTCAACTCTATCTGTCCATGTCAATTTACCAGTGGTCAACTCATCTGTCCATGTCAATTTACCAGTGGTCAACTCCATCTGTCCATGTCAATTTACCAGTGGTCAACTCATCTGTCCATGTCAATTTTACCAGTGGTCAACTCCATCTGTCCATGTCAATTTACTCAGTGGTCAACTCATCTGTCCATGTCAATTCTACCAGTGGTCAACTTCCATCTGTCCATGTCAATTTACCAGTGGTCAACTCATCTGTCCATGTCAATTTACCAGTGGTCAACTCATCTGTCCATGTCAATTTACCAGTGGTCAACTCATCTGTCCATGTCAATTTACCAGTGGTCAACTCATCTGTCCATGTCAATTTACTTACTCCAGTGGTCAACCTCATCTGTCCATGTCAATTTACCAGTGGTCAACTCATCTGTCCATGTCAATTTACCAGTGGTCAACTCATCTGTCCATGTCAATTTACCAGTGGTCAACTCATCTGTCCATGTCAATTTACCAGTGGTCAACTCATCTGTCCATGTCAATTTACCAGTGGTCAACTCATCTGTCCATGTCAATTTACCAGTGGTCAACTCATCTGTCCATGTCAATTTTACCAGTGGTCAACTCTATCTGTCCATGTCAATTTACCAGTGGTCAACTCATCTGTCCATGTCACAATTTACTCAGTGGTCAACTCATCTGTCCATGTCAATTTACCAGTGGTCAACCTCATCTGTCCATGTCAATTTCTACTTACTAGTGGTCAACTCATCTGTCCATGTCAATTTTACTCAGTGGTCAACTCCATCTGTCCATGTCAATTTACCAGTGGTCAACTCATCTGTCCATGTCAATTTACCAGTGGTCAACTCATCTGTCCATGTCAATTTACTCAGTGGTCAACTCCTATCTGTCCATGTCAATTTACCAGTGGTCAACTCATCTGTCCATGTCAATTTACCAGTGGTCAACTCATCTGTCCATGTCAATTTACCAGTGGTCAACTCCATCTGTCCATGTCAATTTACTCAGTGGTCAACCTCATCTGTCCATGTCAATTTTACCAGTGGTCAACTCCATCTGTCCATGTCAATTTACTTCAGTGGTCAACCTCATCTGTCCATGTCAATTCTACCAGTGGTCAACTCCATCTGTCCATGTCAATTCTTGTTACCAGTGGTCAACTCCATCTGTCCATGTCAATTTACTAGTGGTCAACTCATCTGTCCATGTCAATTTACCAGTGGTCAACTCATCTGTCCATGTCAATTTTACCAGTGGTCAACTCATCTGTCCATGTCAATTTACCAGTGGTCAACTCATCTGTCCATGTCAATTTACTCAGTGGTCAACTCTCATCTGTCCATGTCAATTTACCAGTGGTCAACTACCATCTGGTCAACCTATCTGTCCATGTCAATTTACCAGTGGTCAACTCATCTGTCCATGTCAATTTACCAGTGGTCAACTTCCATCTGTCCATGTCAATTTACCAGTGGTCAACTCATCTGTCCACGCCAATTTTACCAGTGGTCAACTCATCTGTCCACGCCAATTTTACCAGTGGTCAACCTTCATCTGTCCACGCCAATTTACCAGTGGTCAACTCATCTGTCCACGCCAATTTACCAGTGGTCAACTCATCTGTCCACGCCAATTTACCAGTGGTCAACTCATCTGTCCACGCCAATTTACTCAGTGGTCAACCTATCTGTCCACGTCAATTTACCAGTGGTCAACTCCATCTGTCCATGTCAATTTACCAGTGGTCAACTCCATCTGTCCATGTCAATTTACCAGTGGTCAACTCATCTGTCCATGTCAATTTACCAGTGGTCAACTCATCTGTCCATGTCAATTTTACCAGTGGTCAACTCATCTGTCCATGTCAATTTACCAGTGGTCAACTCCATCTGTCCATGTCAATTTTACCAGTGGTCAACTCATCTGTCCATGTCAATTCTACCAGTGGTCAACTCATCTGTCCATGTCACTTACTCAGTGGTCAACTCATCTGTCCATGTCAATTTACCAGTGGTCAACTCATCTGTCCATGTCAATTTACCAGTGGTCAACTCCATCTGTCCATGTCATTTACCAGTGGTCAACTCATCTGTCCATGTCAATTCAGTTACTCAGTGGTCAACTCATCTGTCCATGTCAATTTACCAGTGGTCAACTCATCTGTCCATGTCAATTTACCAGTGGTCAACTCATCTGTCCATGTCAATTTACCAGTGGTCAACTCATCTGTCCATGTCAATTTACCAGTGGTCAACTCATCTGTCCATGTCAATTTTACCAGTGGTCAACTCATCTGTCCATGTCAATTTACCAGTGGTCAACTCCATCTGTCCATGTCAATTTTACCAGTGGTCAACTCATCTGTCCATGTCAATTTACCAGTGGTCAACTCATCTGTCCATGTCAATTTACCAGTGGTCAACTCATCTGTCCATGTCAATTTACCAGTGGTCAACTCATCTGTCCATGTCAATTTACCAGTGGTCAACTCATCTGTCCATGTCAATTTACCAGTGGTCAACTCATCTGTCCATGTCAATTTACCAGTGGTCAACTCATCTGTCCATGTCAATTTACCAGTGGTCAACTCATCTGTCCATGTCAATTTACCAGTGGTCAACTCATCTGTCCATGTCAATTTACCAGTGGTCAACTCATCTGTCCATGTCAATTTACCAGTGGTCAACTCATCTGTCCATGTCAATTTACCAGTGGTCAACTCATCTGTCCATGTCAATTTACCAGTGGTCAACTCATCTGTCCATGTCAATTTACCAGTGGTCAAGCTCATCTGTCCATGTCAATTTACCAGTGGTCAACTCATCTGTCCATGTCAATTTACCAGTGGTCAACTCATCTGTCCATGTCAATTTACCAGTGGTCAACTCATCTGTCCATGTCAATTTACCAGTGGTCAACTCATCTGTCCATGTCAATTGATTTTCAGTATCCCCTCATGTACTGCACGGACACGTTCGGTGATGGCCAAATGTTCAACTGTATTCAGAGAGCTCATCAAAACACGTATGTAACACTCCATGCCAAGTGTCTGTAAATTAATCATGATATGCATTGTGCAAAATTTACGCTGGTCCTGTGGTCCCTGGCTAGTAAAAATTCATCAGGACCACTAAATACTAAGTTTGCAATGGTCCTAGTGGCCAGTGAATTTTGTATTGATAGTAAATCTACGAATGTTATTTTGGACCAGTGAAGTACCGACAGGACCACTAATTATTGTCCACTCACTGGTCCTGTGGTGTAGTAGGAAATTTTGAAAGGTTTCTTTCCCTGATATGAGTTGTTGTTGAACATAAAGAATTGTTTTAGTATGACCTGCTCAGCAGCTTATATTCAGCTCCACAACTGAAGCTGATGTAGGTACAATTTAACTGAATGTGAATGTTAGGTTCAATTAATGTAGATCTTTATACATAAGGCTAATACAATATCTTCCTCATGTTGCACTGAAAACAAAAACAGAGGACTAGATAACTCAAAAGATCACAACATTACACATAAGAGAATGTTGATTGATCAAACGACTGCAACATACAGGCAAGACCTCTGTTAACTCTTGACATGACTGCGACATACAGACTAGACAGTGTTAACTCTTGACATGACTGCAACATACAGACTAGACAGTGTTAACTCTTAACACAGTGCTCGATTTAAGAAATGTTAATCTACTTGCACCAGCTGCAGGTGCAACCTATGATAAAAACCTAGTTGCACCAACGAAATTCCAGTTGCACTGCTTTTATTGCAATATGTAATGAAAGAAATATGCTATTGAATTATTTAGATGTGTACAATCTCATCATAATGCAACCAATCCCTGTTTTTTTTCCCATTCCGCTTTAAAATTGTAAGTATGAATTTTTTTAGCATTGCTTGTGGCTAGATTTATGTATGTCTCTAATTTATGTTTCAATCATCATCTGTAGTTTTATCACCCGGCCTCAAAATGCCACACACATCGGCAATGTCAGTGGAATCACTCGGGTTCTTATTGGCAGGTTTCTTAGTTTCCGAGTTTTGTTTACCAAATTTGTCAACTACTTCATTTGATTTCTGTCTACAAGAGCTGTCATAGCCGAGAGCTAGCCATAGCCATAGCTATTCAACGTTTAGAAGAAAAAGGAGCTGACACAATTCTGTTTATAATGTTAGATTTATCGTTGATTTATTTCTCAAAATTGACTTGCACCTGGTGCAAGTTAGACTAATAGATAGGTCGCACTTTGTAATATTGGGTTGCACCAGTGCAAGTAACAAAGCACTAAATCGAGCCCTGTAACATGACTGTGGCATACAAACTAGACAGTGTTAACTCTTGTCTTGACTGCAACATACAAACTAGACAGTGTTAACTCTTGTCTTGACTGCGACATACAGACTAGACAATGTTAACTCTTGACTGCGACAAATAGACTGGACAATGTTAACTCTTGACATAACTGTGACATATAGGTAAGAGCTCTGTTAACTCTTGATATGACTGTGACATACAGACTAGACAGTGTTAATTCTTGACATGACTAATAAATGCGACATGCGGACTAGACAGTGTTAACTCTTGACTGTGACATACAGACTAGACAGTGTTAACTCTTGACTGTGACATACAGACTAGACAGTGTTCACTCTTGACTGACATACAGGCTAGACAGTGTTAACTCTTGATATGACTGTGACATACAGACTAGACAGTGTTAATTCTTGACATGACTAATAAATGCGACATACAGACTAGACAGTGTTATCTCTTGACTGTGACATACAGACTAGACAGTGTTCACTCTTGACTGACATACCGACTAGACAGTGTTAACTCTTGATATGACTAAGTGACATCGACATAGGGACTAGACAGTGTTAACTCTTGACTGTGACATACAGACTAGACAGTGTTAACTCTTGACTGTGACACATAGACTAGACAGTGTTACCTCTTGACTGTGACATACAGACTAGACAGTGTTCACTCTTGACTGTGACATACAGACTAGACAGTGTTACCTCTTGACTGACATACAAACTAGACAGTCTTAACTCTTGACTGTGACATACAGACTAGATAGTGTTAGCTCTTGACTGTGACATACAGACTAGACAGTCTTGACTGTAGACAGTCTTAACTCTTGACTGTGACATACAAACTAGACAGTCTTAACTCTTGACTGACATACAGACTAGACAGTGTTAACTCTTGACTGTGACATACAAACTAGACAGTCTTAACTCTTGACTGTGACATACAAACTAGACAGTGTTAACTCTTGATGTTGAAGACATTGTGTTTAGGGCATAAGGTTGTAAGATTAACACAAGACTATATTTTTTGGTGCACAAGATTCTAACATGCAACCAAGACTGTGTGATTTTGGTATATGGTTGTTACTTACAGACAAAACAGAGTGTATGGGGCACAAGGTTGTAACTGAAGGCACTTATCACAAGATGGTTTTGTTTCAGGCTTGAGGTGTATCCTGTGACTTTGGTACTATTAATTTTTGGGGGACTTGAATTTCCAGTAAGTATGAACAAGTGAAAAGGATACATACAAACTGTAGTTTGATCAGTGATATGACTAGTCGTACAATCAGTAGTATGATCAGTGATATGACTAGTTGTACAATCAGTAGTATAATCAGTGATATGACTAGTCGTACAATCAGTCTTATGATCAGTGATATGACTAGTCGTACAATCGGGCAGTATGATCAGTGATATGACCAGTCCTACAATCAGTCGTATGATCAGTGATATGACTAGTTGTACAATCAGTAGTGTGATCAGTGATATGACTAGTCGTACAATCAGTCTTATGATCAGTGATATGACTAGTCGTACAATCGGGCAGTATGATCAGTGATATGACCAGTCCTACAATCAGTCGTATGATCAGTGATATGACTAGTTGTACAATCAGTAGTATGATCAGTGATATGACTAGTCGTACAATCAGTCTTATGATCAGTGATATGACTAGTCGCATTAATCGGGCAGTATGATCAGTGATATGACCAGTCCTACAATCAGTCGTAGTATGATCAGTGATATGACTAGTTGTACAATCAGTAGTATGATCAGTGATATGACTAGTCGCATACAATCAGTCTTATGATCAGTGATATGACTAGTCGTACAATCGGGCAGTATGATCAGTGAAATGACCAGTCCTACAATCAGTCGTATGATCAGTGATATGACTAGTTGTACAATCAGTAGTATGATCAGTGATATGACTAGTCATACAATCAGTCTTATGATCAGTGATATGACTAGTCGTACAATCGGGCAGTATGATCAGTGATATGACCAGTCCTACAATCAGTCGTATGATCAGTGATATGACTAGTTGTACAATCAGTAGTATGATCAGTGATATGACTAGTCGTACAATCAGTCTTATGATCAGTGATATGACTAGTCGTACAATCGGGCAGTATGATCAGTGATATGACCAGTCCTACAATCAGTCGTATGATCAGTGATATGACCAGTTGTATAGTCAGTAGTATAATCAGTTATATGACTAGTCGTACAATCAGTAGTATAGACAGTGATATGACCAGTCGTACAATCAGTAGTATGATCAGTGATATGACTAGTCATACAATCAGTAGTATAATCAGTGATATGACTAGTCATACAATCAGTAGTATAATCAGTGATATGACTAGTCATACAATCAGTAGTATAATCAGTGATATGACCAGTTGTACAATTAGTAGTATAATCAGTGATATGACTAGTCGTACAGTCAGTAGTATAATCAGTGATATGACTAGTCATACAATCAGTGGTATAATCAGTGACTAGTCATACAATCAGTAGTATAATCGGTGTTATGAATAGTCGTTAAATCAGTAGTATGATCAGTGATATGACTAGTCATACAGTCAGTAGTATAATCAGTGATATGACTAGTCGTACAGTCAGTAGTATTATCAGTGATATGACTAGTCATACAATCAGTAGTATAATCAGTGATATGACTAGTCATACAATCAGTAGTATAATCAGTGATATGACTAGTCGTACAGTCAGTAGTATAATCAGTGATATGACTAGTCATACAATCAGTAGTATAATCAGTGATATGACAAGTCATACAATCAGTAGTATAATCGGTGTTATGACTAGTCGTACAATCAGCAGTATGTACAGTGATATGACTAGTCGTACAATCAGTAGTATGATCAGTGATATGAGTAGTCATACAGTCAGTGGTATAATCAGTGATATGACTAGTCGTACAGTCAGTAGTATAATTAGTGATATGACTAGTCATACAATCAGTGGTATAATCAGTGATATGACTAGTCATACAATCAGTAGTATAATTGGTGTTATGAATAGTCATACAGTCAGTAGTATAATCAGTGATATGACCAGTTGTACAATTAGTAGTATAATCAGTGATATGACTAGTCGTACAGTCAGTAGTATAATCAGTGATATGACTAGTCATACAATCAGTGGTGTAATCAGTGACTAGTCATACAATCATTAGTTTGACCAGTGATGTGACTAGTCGTACAATCAGTAGTATGATCAGTGATATGACTAGTGATACAGTCCGTGGTATAATCAGTGATATGACTAGTCGTACAGTCAGTAGTATAATTACTGATATGACCAGTCGTACAGTCAGGAGTATAATTAGTGATATGACTAGTCGTACAGTCAGTAGTATAATCAGTCATTATGACTCGTCTTACAATCATTTGTTTGACCAGTGATATAACTAGTCGCACAATCATTCATTAGTACAGTCATTATGACTCGTCTTACAATCGGTGGTATGGTTAGTAGCTTGACCATTTATGATGATTACCGCTTTGACCATTGATAATAATTGGTAGCAGTACCAGTAGTAGTAGTATGACCAGTGATAGTAGTATGACCAGTGATATTAGTATGACCAGTGATAGTAGTATAATAGTAGTATGACCAGTGGTAGTTATATGACCAATGGTAGTAGAATGACCAGTGGTAGTTATATGACCAGTGGTAGTAGAATGACCAGTGGTAGTTATATGACCAATGGTAGTAGAATGACCAGTGGTAGTAGTATGACCAGTGGTAGTAGTATAATAGTAGTATGACCAGTGGTAGTACTATGACCAGTGGTAGCAGTATGATAGTAGTATGACCAGTGGTAGTATTCTGACCAGTGGTAGTAGTATGACAAGTGATAGTAGAACGATTAGTGATAGTAGTATGACCAGTGGTAGTAGTATGACCAGTGATAATAGTCTGGTAGTAGTATGACCAGTGATAATAGTATGGTAGTAGTATGACCAGTGGTAGTAGTATGACCAGTGGTAGCAGTATGATAGTAGTACGACCAGTGGTAGTATTCTGACCAGTGGTAGTATTTTGACCAGTGGTAGTAGTATGACAAGTGATAGTAGTATGATTAGTGATAGTAGTATGACCAGTGGTAGTAGTATGACCAGTGATAATAGTATGGTAGTAGTATGACCAGTGATTATAGTATGGTAGTAGTATGACCAGTGGTAGTAGTATGACTAGTGATAATAGTATGGTAGTAGAATGACCAGTGGTAGTATGACCAGTGGTAGTAGTATGACCAGTGGTAGTAGTATGACCAGTGGTAGTAGTATGACCAGTGGTAGTAGTATGACCAGTAGCAAGACCATTGACGATTTGCAGTAGCCAGGACGACTATGATCATTGAAAATGATTAGCAGTGATAATGGTTAGTGCTATAACCAGTAGTTTGACCACTGAGAAGGATCAGTAGTTTGATCAGTGATGATAAGGTTGTAATATCCATAAAAAATATGTTTTGTAACGAGCAGAAAAAATGTGACAAAAAACTCTATTCTGTATACTTGATCATACTATCAAAAAAGCCGAAATACTTTGTTTCTAGCCGCCAGTATCTTGCCTCGTTGGTATGGAATTATCTCCCTTGTGTCCAGGGATGGCTTGATCACGTGACCTCATTGCTAGCAGACGATACCGAAGCTTTGCCATGACGTTACAAAACAACAGAAATCGACTCTTGGCATATTATGAAGCAGGTATTACATCCGTAACTAGACTTGTGAAACTGACGGGACTGCATCGGGCCTCTGTTTACCGAAATTTGAAGGAGGGTTAGGGACAGAGCGACAGGCTGGATTGGGACGTCGTGCTACTCTTGGGGCAAATGACAGATGACGTATCGCGCGTCTCGCGGCGGCGTACTCCAAACTGGTCTGCAAAACAGCTTGCCGCCGAAAGCGCCAAGTCAAGGAACCCCTAAGGTATCAGAATGGACAATCAGAAGATCTTTAAAGCAATCTGGATATGTCAAGCGAAAGTGTCGAAGAAAGTTCCATTGATGACAACAGCACATATGGAGAAAAGGCTCGAGTGGTGCAGGGAAATGCAGGGTACAGACTTTTCACATGTGATTTTTACGGACGAATCAAAGTTTCAGTTTTATAGGATCACAAGAGAGAGGTGGTCAAGAGGTGGACGTAGCTGCAAAATGGTTCCGAAGTTCTCACTCAGTGTCATGGTTTGGGGTGGTATAGGCAAACTCGGGGTAACGCCGCTGCTAACTATTACAGGAAGGATGAATTCATGCAAGTACTGGCAACTTATACAAGAAGGCATAGTGGAATCCCATATAGGACAGGGTGGAATACCTTTCAAACTTTTACAGGACGATGCACCTGTACACAAGTCAAGACACACCTGTAACTGGTTTGAAACGAGTCACGTGACCTTACAGAAATTTCCAGAGGCATCACCAGACCTGAACCCAATTGAAAATGTGTGGCAGATTATGAAGGACAAATTAAAAAAGTTGGAACCGAAGAGTGTCGTTGAGTGGTCTAATCTCATCAGTCAAATATGGGTAGGCCTACCCCAGGACTACATAGACAATTTGATTGACAGCATGGGACGCTGTATTCAGCAGTGTAAATGTAAACTTCAGTATCCAGAGTGGATGTATGAAAAATATAACTGAATTTATCAGTAAATAAATTTTGAAACTACGCCTGTGAAAAGTCGCAATTTTTCTGCTCGTTACTGTACATCAACTCAACAATAGGTGATTAAACAAGACGGAGGAATACATGACCAATATGTTGACAACTATATCTTCTGTACTTCAGAAAGTTAGTGCCCTGTGTGGAGTTGTGTGGATCATCAGTCGTGTCGTGTATGCACAGGGATATTACACTGGAGGTGAGTTGAAGGAATGAAGAGAGCACTTTGATGTAGGTAGCACCCTGTGATGTAGGTAGCATCCTGTGATGTAGGTAGCACCTTGTGATGTAGGTAGCACCCTGTGATGTAGGTAGCACCCTGTGATGTAGGTAGCACCTTGTGATCTAGGTAGCACCCTGTGATGTAGGTAGCACACTGTGATGAAGGTAGCACCCTGTGATGTAGGTAGCACCTTGTGATGCAGGTAGCACCTTGTGATGTAGGTAGCACCCTGTGATGTAGGTAGCACAATGTGATGAAGGTAGCACCCTGTGATGTAGGTAGCACCCTGTGATGTAGGGAGCACCCTGTGATGTAGGGAGCACCCTGTGATGTAGGGAGCACCTTGTGATGTAGGTAGCACCCTGTGATGTAGGGAGCACCCTGTGATGTAGGTAGCACCTTGTGATGTAGGTAGCACCCTGTGATGTAGGTAGCACAATGTGATGAAGGTAGCACTCTGTGATGTAGGTAGCACCCTGTGATGTAGGTAGCACCCTGTGATGCAGGTAGCACCCTGTGATGAAGGTAGCACCCTGTGATGTAGGTAGCACCCTGTGATGCAGGTAGCACCCTGTGATGCAGGTAGCACAATGTGATGTAGGTAGCACCCTGTGATGTAGGTAGCACCCTGTGATAGTACCCTGTGATGTAGGTAGCACCCTGTGTTGTAGGTAGCACCCTGTGATAGGTAGCACCCTGTGATGTAGGTAGCACCCCTGTGATGTAGGTAGCACCCTGTGATGTAGGTAGCACCCTGTGATGAAGGTAGCACCCTGTGATGTAGGTAGCACCCTGTGATGTAGGTAGCACCCTGTGATGTAGGTAGCACCCTGTGATGTAGGTAGCACCCTGTGATGTAGGTAGCACCCTGTGATGTAGGTAGCACCCTGTGATGTAGGTAGCACCCTGTGATGTAGGTAGCACCCTGTGATGTAGGTAGCACCCTGTGATGTAGGTAGCACCCTGTGATGTAGGTAGCACCCTGTGATGTAGGTAGCACCCTGTGATGTAGGTAGCACCCTGTGATGTAGGTAGCACCCTGTGATGTAGGTAGCACCCTGTGATGTAGGGAGCACCCTCTGATGTAGGTAGCACCCTGTGATGTAGGTAGCACCCTGTGATGAAGGTAGCACAATGTGATGAAGGTAGCACCCTGTGATGTAGGTAGCACCCTGTGATAGTACCCTGTGATGTAGGTAGCACCCTGTGATAGTACTCTGTTTGTAGGTAGCACCCTGTGATGTAGGTAGCACCCTGTGATGTAGGGAGCACCCTGTGATGTAGGTAGCACCCTGTGATGTAGGTAGCACCCTGTGATGTCGAGTGAACACTGTTGATATCAACCAAGGATCTGTTTCACTGAGACCTTAACTTGACCTTTCTGTTTGACTGAATGAAGTGGACAGTGTTGTCATCATTGTCAAGTGTTTACAAAGGAAAAAATATTTCCACTTTCTTTTAACAGATCCAGCAAAGAGGACCCGAGGTGTCTTCGGATATGCTGGGCTACTTGTGCTCCTGATCAACACCATCATCTTTGCCCTGGATATCCTGGACTTTGTGTAACATCATCACCTCCACCATGATATCCTGGACTTTGTGTAACACCATCACCTTGACCATGATATCCTGGACTTTGTGTAACACCATCACCTCCACCATGATATCCTGGACTTTGTGTAACACTATTACTTTTTGCCATGGACGTCCTGGACCTAGTATAACACCATCACTTTTTGCCCTGGACGTACATGACATTGTGTGTATATTTGCATCTTACAATTGACAGATATTGATATCCTTGGATGATTTTATATTATTACAACTGCTGGTTGTGTTCATGTGTGTTGCGATGTCGACATCACTGGTGGATAGACCATCATGCCTTACTTCTCCTTTAAATTCACAGTGAAATTGTATGACATTCTTTGACCACCCTTACTGGAACCTGCAGTAGATATAAATTTTAATATAGACAGTGATGTGTGTCTAGCTTAGAAATTGTTTTACTTCAGACTTACTGCTATATAAGTACATTACTCACGTGTTATCCTATGCTTGTCAATACAAACATGATTTCTTTATTACAGCAGTCTTGGAATACATAGCAACAATCAATGTCCTGAAACTTAGTTACCGTGATCTGTGAGCTCATCAAGTTATTGTAACTTAGTTACCGTGATCTGTGAATTTATCAGGACCGTTTCTTGTTGTACACATTTGATTTTTTAATGTCAGGAAAGCGTCGATGCTCAGTTTGCACTTGACATTCCGGAAATGCAAGAGCATTATAATAATCATACTACCTATCTTTTGTATAGTACTAGCAGTACTACTTGATCTTTTTGCTTTCTGATGTAGTTGAGCTGCATCATGAAATATGTACTCAGAATAAATGTGGAATGTTATGATGATGTTGAATCACTGATGTAGCTGTGTGGTTTGATGAGTCCAGGTACAGGCAAACAATGACAGTTGTTATATCATGTGTGGATCATCTCTCTCCATCAGGATGGAGGAGTAACTTATGTGACTGAAGTAATCACAGATTGAAGGCTTTCATTCCCCACATAGGTCAATTGTGTGAATTCCTTCAAATACGATACCTCACCTTAGTTTCAACAGGAACTGTGTGTATTCAGTCCCCATATGTCCATTCTCTGCTTATTATGTCTAGTGCTTTGCATTGCACGACCCCATAGCTACAAGGTGGAGCACACTACAAGACTTCAAGGAGCTGAAACATTTGGCGTCTACAAAAAATGGCAATCCCCAGCCAGGAAACCCGTCTTGGCAATTACCACGGAGAACTAGCAAATACACGGAGACGTCTAAGATATGTGACAGTGCGGGATGTCCTCCAAGTGATGCTAAGTGATGTAATCTATGTGACACTGCAAGATGTCCTCTGTGTGAGTGAGTGAGCGAGTTTAGTTTTACGCCGCACTCAGCAATATTCCAGCTATATGGCGGCGGTCTGTAAATAATCGACTCTGGACCAGACAATCCAGTGATCAACAGCATGAGCATCAATCTACGCAATGGGGAACCGATGACATGTGTCAACCAAGTCAGCGAGCCTGACCACCAGATCCCGTTAGTCGCCTCTTACTATAAGCATGGGTTGCTGAAGGTCAATTCTAACCCGGATCTTCATGGGTTGTCCTCTGTGTGACACTGCGAGATGTCCTCTATCTGATGGTAAGTGATGTCCTCTGTGTGACACTGTGAGATGTCGTCTGTGTGACACTGCCAGATGTGCTCAGTGAAATGCGTGTAATGTCCTTTGTGTGATGCTGTGACACAGTGCGAGATGTCCTCCATGTGATGCTGTGTGATGTCCTCAATGTGGCACTGTAAGGTGTCCTCTATGTGACACTGTGAGATGTCCTCCATGTGACTCTGTGAGATGTCCTCCATGCGACTGTGTGATGTCCTCTGTGTGACACTGAAAGATGTCCTCCATGTGACTGTGAGATGTCCTCCATGCGACACTGTAAAATGTCCTCTGTGTGACACTGTGAGGTGTCCTCTATGTGACACTGTAAGATGTCCTCTCTGTGACACTGTAAGATGTCCTCTGTGTGACACTGTGAGGTGTCCTCTATGTGACACTGTAAGATGTCCTCTCTGTGACACTGTAAGATGTCCTCTCTGTGACACTGTGAGAAGTCCTCCATGTGACTCTGTGAGATGTCCTCCATGTGACACTGTGAGGTGTCCTCTGTGACACTGTAAGATGTCCTCTATGTGACACTGTAAGATGTCCTCTCTGTGACACTGTAAGATGTCCTCTGTGTGACACTGTGAGGTGTCCTCCATGTGACTGTGAGTTTTCCTCCGTGTGACACTGTGAGGTGTCCTCTATGTGACACTGTAAGATGTCCTCCATGTGACTCTGTGAGTTTTCCTCCGTGTGACACTGTGAGGTGTCCTCTATGTGACACTGTAAGATGTCCTCTCTGTGACAATGTAAGATGTCTTCTATGTGACACTGTAAGATGTCCTCTGTGTTACACTGTAAGATGTCCTCTCTGTGACACTGTAAGATGTCCTCTCTGTGACACTGAGAAGTCCTCCATGTGACTCTGTGAGATGTCCTCCATGTGACACTGTGAGGTGTCCTCTGTGACACTGTAAGATGTCCTCTATGTGACACTGTAAGATGTCCTCTCTGTGACACTGTAAGATGTCCTCTGTGTGACACTGTGAGGTGTCCTCCATGTGACTGTGAGTTTTCCTCCGTGTGACACTGTGAGGTGTCCTCTATGTGACACTGTAAGATGTCCTCCATGTGACTCTGTGAGTTTTCCTCCGTGTGACACTGTGAGGTGTCCTCTATGTGACACTGTAAGATGTCCTCTCTGTGACAATGTAAGATGTCTTCTATGTGACACTGTAAGATGTCCTCTGTGTTACACTGTAAGATGTCCTCTCTGTGACAATGTAAGATGTCGTCTGTGTGACACTGTAAGATGTCCTCTCTGTGACAATGTAAGATGTCTTCTATGTGACACTGTAAGATGTCATCTGTGTTACACTGTAAGATGTCCTCCGTGTGACACTGTAAGATGTCGTCTGTGTGACACTGTAAGATGTCCTCTCTGTGACACTGTAAGATGTCCTCCATGTGACTGTGAGTTTTCCTCCGTGTGACACTGTAAGATGTCCTCCGTGTGACACTGTAAGATGTCCTCCGTGTGACACTGTAAGATGTCGTCTGTGTGACACTGTAAGATGTCCTCTCTGTGACACTGTAAGATGTCCTCTATGTGACACTGTAAGATGTCCTCTCTGTGACAATGTAAGATGTCTTCTATGTGACACTGTAAGATGTCCTCTCTGTGACAATGTAAGATGTCTTCTATGTGACAATGTAAGATGTCCTCTCTGTGACAATGTGAGGTGTCCTCTATGTGACACTGTAAGATGTCGTCTCTGTGACAATGTAAGATGTCTTCTATGTGACACTGTAAGATGTCCTCTGTATGTGACACTGTAAGATGTCCTCCGTGTGACACTGTAAGATGTCGTCTGTGTGACACTGTAAGATGTCCTCTCTGTGACACTGTAAGATGTCCTCCATGTGACTGTGAGTTTTCCTCCGTGTGACACTGTGAGTTTTCCTCCGTGTGACACTGTAAGATGTCCTCCGTGTGACACTGTAAGATGTCCTCCGTGTGACACTGTAAGATGTCCTCTGTGTGACACTGTAAGATGTCCTCCGTGTGACACTGTAAGATGTCGTCTGTGTGACACTGTAAGATGTCCTCTCTGTGACACTGTAAGATGTCCTCCATGTGACTGTGAGTTTTTCTCCGTGTGACACTGTGAGGTGTCCTCTATGTGACACTGTAAGATGTCCTCCATGTGACTCTGTGAGTTTTCCTCCGTGTGACACTGTAAGATGTCCTCCATGTGACTCTGTGAGTTTTCCTCCGTGTGACACTGTAAGATGTCCTCCGTGTGACACTGTAAGATGTCCTCCGTGTGACACTGTAAGATGTCCTCTGTGTGACACTGTAAGATGTCCTCTGTGTGCCACTGCGAGGTGTCCTCCATGTGACAGTGCAAGATGTCCTCTATGTGACAGTGCAAGATGTCCTCCGTGTGATGCTATGTGATGTTATCTATGTGATAGTGCGTGATGTCCTCATGTGTGACACTGCGGTGATTTCACATTTATATTCTCGTTTGGGTTTACAATGCAATTGCCTCATCTCTGTTAGCAATTTAGTGCATTCAATATTGTAACTGTGTGAGACATCATCTCGTAGCTTGCTCACTTACACCTGCCAGAGACCACCTCCGAGACAAACTTACTGCCCCGTCCATAATTGTAAGACGGCCCGAACGGGAATAGAACGTGTAACTTTGGTAAACATTACGACGCTAGTGCGATCATAAGCAGTTGTCAGTACGTCTATCTCGTCTTTACCCCGTCCCCAGACAGCTGGTGTTACGTTTAGACTGGGTAAAGCTGCCCGTTCACCCCGCGTGGATAACGTGTTCAAGCAGTTCAATCCCATCCTTAGTTCATATCCGTTCTTAACTCGACCAACTCGTTTTCAGGCTGTTCCTCCCGTTCGCACTATGTTCTCACTCCTATTGTGTGCAATCGTAATAGCAATCTCGTCCTGGACCGATTTCTATAAGTACCCTGCACGCTCTTGCCCGTTTTGATTCCCGTTCTCAGTTTCAAGGTGGAAACATCGATATCACCATGCCTCCAAGGAAGAAGGACCAAGAAAGACAGGTCGTGGGAAATCCAGTCCAAGATCCACAAGTCCGGGTGTAGCCATAGTTGCTGAGCCTTTTGTGCCTGAATTCACCTCTCAGGTTTAAGCCAGTTCCTCGCCCAACAAGTTCTTGTTCTTTTTCTCCTTTCTTGCTCTACCAACTCGTACTCTTGCTCTGCTTCCAATAGAAATTGCAGGAAACCAGCATTCAACATGTTGACAGCTGCAAACTTGTTCATGTTTCACAGGTAGAAGTCTCTATCCCCGACGACGAGGGTGTTAAAAAGGCATGTATTTATACCCTCCCTTGTCATATCGTACTGCACGCCGTGTTGACGTAGTAAGAACTACGTGAGAACTATATAAACGTACTAACAACGAGTAGAACGTACAGTCTGTTTGGGTCAAAATGATACCGATGAATCACAATCTAACTCCAAATCGGTTCACGATCAAACATTCATTTCCCCGCAGAATGTAATGAGGACGTCATACCAACTCTGAAAAAAATGTTTCGTAACGTTCATTTCCAAAATAGAAATGTACGGAAGTGCTGAAGGGACATGGTGAAATAACATTTATCTTGAGCGCACAAGTTAGTATGTTGAGTGCACAAGTTAATATATTGTGCGCAAAAGTTAGTATCTTGAGCGCACACTTAAACTATCATCATTTTCTTTTGATTTTCCGTGCGAAGTTTTACGAGGGTAAAGTAACAGTAGTATTGTTGCAGGGACAGCCTCCAGGGCGGCAAGCACGTGCCGTTTAAGATGTCAACTTTCAGGGGTTGAAGTTTTTGAAAGGCATTTAGAAGTTGGATGAGCATGAATACATGACACTTTTATGGATAACAACTTTCTTTTTATTCTTTACACGACGTTTCAGAGCTAGTTCTTGCTCCATCGTCATTCACCTGATGAATTAGCAAGACTTAGCTCTGAAACGTCGTGTAAAGAATAACAAAGGAAGTTGTTATCCATCAAACGTGTGATGAATTCATTTAGGGGTTGTATCAAAACTGTTCCGGACTGGAATCTGAGGAAATTCCCGATTCACTATCACTACTCTCAGATTGTACACTTATGATGACTCGGGTAATCTAGACCACTTTTTATCCAGTACTGATTCTCTATTTCATTTTCAACTTTCTGTACACAGTTTTGCCAGGATGATGGTGTTATTTTGACTTATGGCTTTCTATACTTCGTGTTGAACGTCCGACAGTTTGAACGTGGTATTGTTGCGACCCACACCAGATCTTATGATACACCAGACAAGTTCTATTGGACTGAGATCGCAATGGTAGGGCTGTACAAAATTGGTAAGCAGGAGACAAGGGTACAAGAATCTGTATCGAAACGTCGCACTCTCGTAATAAAGAAGTTGTTATCCATAAAGTTTGTCAATTTTGTACTTCCCAGCTTCTAAAATGCCACTCAAAGAAGGTAGGGCTGTAAACGTAACGTTTCATGGCCATGAGCTTTGAGATATTGATGAAACTGAGAGATTGGTGTTGTTTTGTTGCGCTTTAATATCATACAAAACAAGTTTAGTTGCTTTTGATGGAAACGGAATATCTTGTTTTTTCTAGCAATGCTACCATATCACTTTTCCTCTGTTGGATGTTGGAGCTTTTGTATCTGGATCCTGCACGCTATGATATGGTGCGTTGTCCATGGCAATGAAACATCTGTGAGGAAGTGCTGGTACCAGCTGTAGTTTCACCCAGTGTAAGAAAACATTCATTTCAGACAACCCAGCTGCACATGCAGTGAATTTAACAAATTTACCTTTACCTATTTAAGGCGGCCTCTTTCACTTTCACCTGTAAAAATATCATAAACATTTAAAATAATGGATTTGATGTCAGAGGAGAATTTTATTGTCCCATGTACAGTGTCAATAAATCGATTGGCAATGTTTGATGTGACGTCACAATTGCACGTGCTTCCTGCCCTGGAAGCTGTTCCTGCAACAGTACTACTGTTACTTTACCCTCATAGGGGCGGTGGGGTAGTCTAGTGGTTAAAGCGTTGGCTCGTCACGCCGAAGACCAGGGTTCGAATCCCCACATGGGTACAATTAGTGAAGCCCATTTCTGGTGTCCCCCGCCGTGATATTGCTGGAATATTGCTAAAAGCGGTGTAAAACCAAACTCACTCAGTCAGTACTTTACCCTCGTAAAACTTCACACGGAAAATCAAAACAAAATGATGATAGTTTGTTAAGTAAATTTTCTATTTTGGAGACGAACGTTATAAAACTTTTTCCAGAGTTGGTCTGATGTTTTCATTACATTCTTCGTTGAAATGAATGTTTGAAGATGAACCGATTTGGAGTTAGATTGTGATTCATCAGTATAATTTTGACCGAAACAGAGTGAGAACCCATTGCGACCCTTTAGTACCGTGTAGCAACGTACTACGAACTTCTTCAGAACAGTTCATTCTGTTTTGAACATATTTGCACGTAATAGCAAGTAACTAATACCCCCTTCACACTTGAGGCGGAATGCCGTCGGAATGAAAATTCCTGGAGATTCCTGGAAATTCGTACTGCATTCTAAAACTTCTTACTCCATTCCGAATGCACTCCAACGATTCGTGTCAATTCTTGTAACATGCCCAAATGTTTTGAACATGTTCAAAACTTTCGAGGTACATTCGAAGTGGAAAAATATCGAACAGCATTTGAAGTGCGTTCTAACTGCATTCTAAGTATTCTTACTGCATTCTAAGTATTCTGAACGTATTCGAGGGCGAATCGAAAGAGCAAGCCACTTCAAATCCTGCAAGAATGTCCCGAATGCACCTCGAATGTACTTCGATTGCTGACGGAATTTAGGTGGAATACTCCTCAAACGTATCGGAATATTTCGATTGCACTTGGAATACAGCTCGAATGTACATCGAATGCACCTCGAATACAGTCAGAACGTCTCGAATGCTCTTCAAATGAGCCCTGGAGTCATCGGAACACAGCCGAATCCCTTAAAAACGTCACTGAAACTTCAGACATAGTTCACACCTTCAAGCTGGGCAAGTTGTCTCCAGCCTCCTGGCACCACGTTGTGCTGCTCATAATCCTTATCCAATGCCATTGTGGAGAGTAGGATAACGAGTCCTCATCATGTTGTGCAGGCAGACACAGCATTCAATGATGTCCTTCACAACGGAAGGCCTTGGCAGCATGGTGGTGAGGAGGATTTGCCAACTGTGGGCCATGATTCCAAATGCATTTTCCACTACCCGTCGGCCCCGACTGATCCTGTTGTTGTTGATTCTCTCGTCTCTCTGGAGAGTCATATGACCATACGGTTTCATCAAGAAGGCTCTTAATCAAAAGGCATCATCTCCCAGAATAAAGCGTGGCATACGCTAGTCATCTTGTGGTAAGGAGAACGGATCATGAAATCCTATCCTCCCGTCTTCAAGACAATCCTTGAGCTCGCACTTGTTGGCGATCTGAGCATCAGACCTACTTCCTTAAGCACCTATGTCCGCCCACAAGGGCCATGAGGACCACAGAAATGAAGCCCTTGTAGTTGTGGTACAATGAGCTGCCCTTGGCAGGTTTCCTAATGGCCACATGTTTGTCATCTAAAGCTCCTACGGCATGAGGTATATTCCACCTGTTTCTGAATACCTCTTCAATGGGTGTCCATTCTTCTGGAGTGGTAGGGCAGATGATAACCTCATCCTTGTATTCTCCCAAATGACCTTACATACTTCTGAGATGATCAGGTTGATTGTGCTCCTTGCCACGCGGAAGCTGTACATGATGCTGGGGTATCACCTGAAGTCAGGAACCTCAATGTGATGGCTACCTTCAAGCCTGGAGGTAGCACCTTTCTCATATATGTATCCTGCTTCTGTATTCTTGGTCCCACTTTCTGCACCAACTCATCAAACATGGCAGGCTCCATCCTAAGGTAGTTGAAGAATGACTGCGTGTCCCCAACTCTGAGCTCTTCCATCCGTCTTTTGTAATGTCAAACAGCCTCCTCCTTTCCTCTGTCAGTCATGGTCTGGTCTGGAATCTCCTGGGTCTTCTCCTGTTTTTTTCCACATCTCTTTCAATCTGGGCTTGCTGGAGGACAGCAATATGGAGCACTGCAACATGGTCCAGGTGGTCCATACTCTATGGGAGTTGGGCAGTGACTGATGAATAGTCCAGATTCAACCGGTTTTTATACCCCATCGTGGAAAATTCCGGCAGCATTCTTGATGCATACCGGACATTCGTGTTACATTCTAAGTGCATTTGAAGGACATTTGAAATATTCGAGCTGCATTCTGTTTTAATTCTTTAACATTCGACCCATATTCGGGGGCCATTCCAAGAAGATACTGAATGCATTCTATGTAAATTCGTGAATGCATTCTATGTAAATTCGTGCAGCATTCGAGGTACGTTCTAACTGAAATTCGAGTGCTATTCACGCAGTAATCGAACTGGACTCGTACTGCAGTCGAAATTAAGTATTCTTAGTGTATTCTAACGGCGTTCTAGTTATTTCTACTGTATTCCGATTCATTCGAACTGCATTCGTGATGTAGTACATTTGGAATGAGTAAGAATACTTTGAGGCGGGTTCGAAGTTCGTTCTAAGTATTCCAACAGCATTCTTACAAAGCTTGAACAAAATTGTTTATTTAGACATTCTCTCCCGAATGCGGTTCGAATTTTGGAAATATGTTTTTTCTGGCTGATTCTCCTTGATTCCTGTCAATTCGAAATAAGTGTGAAGGACCCTTAAGGACGTAATGCGGCCGAGTTAGGTCGAGTTAGGGATGCACGTGGTGGAAACACTGTACAAACGTATTACAATTGATGCCTGACAGCACTACGTCCGCACACGTCCCCACTAACATTGAAGTTCGACAATTTCGTTCGTAGTACCATGGAGACTAAAAGACTGGGTGTTGTAGATTATCCCTGGTAGTATGGCATTTCCGTTCGTATTACCCACTCGGTCCCATTTTAGAACGGGTAGAACGGTGGACATCTTCAACGTTCTGGAGCAACGTTCTGGAGCACCCTTCCGCCCCTAGTCTATAAATTTAAGTTCTTAAACAGACTGTAAACAGGTGCCTCTGCGTCCAGTCCGTTCACACTCAGTTTGAGCCCGATCCGAACATTTTTCAAGAACGTACTGAGAACGAGTTCGATTGGGTATAAGCATCCAGTGTCAGTTAAGCCAGTGTCACATGGAGGGTACAGGCCATACCTAACTAGGCAACTGTTACAGACAGTTCACTTCACGGGTAAGGTGTGTCCAAGGCAGCGGTTCACTTCACGGGTTAGGTTTCTCCAAGGCAGCAGTTCACTTCACGGGTTAGGTGTGTCCAAGGCAGCGGTTCACTTCACGGGTTAGGTGTATCCAAGGCAGCAGTTCACTTCACGGGTTAGGTTTCTCCAAGGCAGCAGTTCACTTTGCGGGTAAGGTGTGTCCAAGGCAGCAGTTCACTTCACGGGTTAGGTATGCCCAAGGCAGCAGTTCACTTCACGGGTTAGGTATGTCCACGGCAGCAGTTCACTTCACGGGTTAGGTGTGTCCAAGGCAGCAGTTCACTTCACGGGTTAGGTGTGTCCAAGGCAGCAGTTCACTTCACGGGTTAGGTGTGTCCAAGGCAGCGGTTCACTTCACGGGTTAGGTGTATCCAAGGCAGCAGTTCACTTCACGGGTTAGGTATGTCCACGGCAGCAGTTCACTTCACGGGTTAGGTGTGTCCAAGGCAGCAGTTCACTTCACGGGTTAGGTGTGTCCAAGGCAGCGGTTCACTTCACGGGTTAGGTGTGTCCAAGGCAGCAGTTCACTTCACGGGTTAGGTGTATCCAAGGCAGCAGTTCACTTCACGGGTTAGGTATGTCCAAGGCAGCAGTTCACTCCACGGGTTAGGTGTACCCAAGGCAGCAGTTCACTTCACGGGTTAGGTGTGTCCATGGCAGCAGTTCACTTCACGGGTTAGGTGTGTCCAAGGCTGGCGGAAGTACCTCAGGGAAACAATACTGTAGTTCATGTCAAACTTCATGCAATCTGTCAGCAAGTGTAATTACATATCCAGGTAGAGCTATGCTTTGTAATGTGTAGAAGGTACATGTGATGAGTGGTTTTAATCTGAATATAGACAAGTCTTACTCCGCCGGTGGTAAGAATCCTCTTGTTATCATTGACTTACAGCGTTGCGCCCTATGTGATCAGAAACACAAGGCAGCTTCTGATGCCATAACCGACTGCCTTACAGCAAGCCCAGTACTTGCCTGTGCATACTTACGGTGTGATAGCATGCACCAGTGGAGATATTACCCGGTTCATAAACTAGAATTCTTAGCTCTACATTGGGACTTCGGTTTACTCGTGATATTCAGTCAGATGCAGTCAAAGCAGAATGTTCTTGTCAGACCATGAATGTCAGTGTTTGGCTGTGTCCGACTGATCCTTTCAATCAAATAGATTGGCTGTTTGAACAATCTCAGGATCCTGATATACCAGGGTAGCAGGTTTTATTTTGAGTGACAGAACACCGCGTCAATTTGGTATGGACGACTGGGTAACCAAGTCAGCACAAGGACTCTGGTCTTCTCTCGGACTCCAGTGATTGTGAGGACTGGGTATTTGTCACAGACTAAAATGTGCTCCATACATTCCAACACTCTCTGATGTTGGTGTAAACAGCCCACCTTACTTGTGGCCTGACAGGAACATCCTGGGCTTTGGCACACGCAGTTCCAGCAAATGTAGAGGCAGGTTACGTGACTGCCGTCTTTGAACACTCCATGGGGCTCAGTACACAACATGTCGGATAACATGTTGTTGTTAGAATCCACGGTTTTCTTTTAAAAAAAGAACACATCAGCCAGAGTTTAGATCTAATTGTTCCTGCAACACTTGTAAAATACTAACAGTGACTTTAACTATTAAATAAACAGCCACTCTCGTACAAAGCAATAGCAGCATTATGTATAGTACTGATCTTGCAAGAAACTACTTCAATACTGTGTATAAGAATAACGAAGAGTTTATTGACAATAACTTCACTCTGTTATATACAGTTGCCATATAGACATTACAGTCAAATCCAAACAAGACAATATATTCTGTTCACGATATACAGATGCAAGTTGACCGGAAGTAATGCTGCCTGTGCGGTACAGGCTGGGCAAGATCTTGTGATGGGTGTCTGGTCAAGGCAGATCTTGTGATGGGTGTCTGGTCAAAGCAGAATCTGTCCTGAGGGAGACACACTATCCCCACACGGTATTCTGACAAGGCAATATTACTGCCCCGGCAACCACGCCCAATACCATTTGAATAAATGTCATTCACCAAAATAAACATATAAATAGCGAAACGATTTATAGATATATAATTGATAAAACAATAGGAATTTATAAAAAAAAGACGTTCCTAGTTCCCTTGGCTGCTGTTGCTGAGATCATCCCAGATGTATCACGGGCTATATACAACAGATACAGACATCATGCGTCACTACACCAAGAGAGCAACAGGAACAATAGCACCAAGTAGGAGGCAATATCAGCTGTGTTCAGTATACATAACATTATATACTAGTACCTTTGTGTTCCAAGAATTATTACACTTTCCTGAGTATACTTATAAAATCATTCATAAAATCTGTTCGTACGCTGTCATTTTGACGAGTTAACAACTGCGCCTGAGTCCCTTCCCGGACTGCGTGTGTCCAGACACGGGCCAAACACAGCGGTTATTATGCAACTTGTTGGCAATGTGTTTCGTTGAACTTACTTTTCGTTATAATATGTATCTCGTTATAACATGTATCATGCAATACTCACTCTCTCCTTGCTAAAGATCATTCTCGCCGAACATTAGGCATGGTAAGTGTGAAGACAATAACTCTGTGACACATATTTACAGCCGCAGTGTCCCCACACTAAACACTTGATACCTCAAGGCCTATCATCAGTTACGTATCTTAAGTACACGTCAAAAGCGAAGACAAATTACATCGTTTATATTTTGGGTATAAATATATGCGTCAGACTATAGTAGTGTAATATGGTAACTGGAGCAAGCAGTTAATGCCCGTGTGTCTACGTACGTGACATCTGTGTATAGGTAAGTGACATCTCTCTCTGTGTAGGTACGTGACATCTGTGTGTATTTGTACGTGACGTATGTGTGTATAGGTAAGTGACATCTCTGTGTGTGTGTAGGTACGTGACATATGTGTGTGTGTATATGTACGTGACATTTGTGTGTATGTATGTAGGTGCGTGACGTATGTGTATACGTGTGTGTATCGGTACGTGACGTGTGTGTAGGTACGTGGCATCTGTATGTGTGTCTAGATACGTGTCACATGTGTGTGTATGTGTCTAAATACGTGACATATGTGTGTGTATGTGTGTCTAGGTACGTGACATCTGTGCGTATGTGTGTGGAGGTACGTGGCATCTGTGTGTATGTGTGTCTAGGTACGTGACATCTGTGTGTATGTGTGTGGAGGTACGTGGCATCTGTATGTGTGTCTAGGTACGTGACATCTGTGTGTATGTGTGTGGAGGTACGTGGCATCTGTGTGTATGTGTGTCTAGGTACGTGACACCTGTGTGTATGTGTGTCTAGGTACGTGACATCTCTGTATGTGTGTGTCTAGGTACGTGACATCTGTGTGTGTATGTGTGTCTAGGTACGTGACATCTGTGTGTATGTGTGTCTTGGTACGTGACATGTGTGTATGTGTGTCTAGGTATGTGACACCTGTGTGTACGTGTGGAGGTACCTGACATCTGTATGTGTGTCTAGGTACGTGACATCTGTGTGTATGTGTGTCTAGGTACGTGACATGTGTGTGTATGTGTGTGGAGGTACGTGACATCTGTGTGTATGTGTGTCTAGGTACGTGACATCTGTGTGTATGTGTGTCTAGGTACGTGACATCTGTGTGTATGTGTGTCTAGGTACGTGACATCTGTGTGTATGTGTATCTAGGTACGTGACATCTGTGTGGCAAGGCACATGGTCTCGATGTATGGATACATGACAGATACATGGTTCAGTATATATCAGGGTACGTGGCCACTGTGTGTTTGGGTTGTGTGACTCTGAGAGGAATACAAGACATACAGATACTCTAGCCTTCCTCACCACAGCACGATGTACTTGGTTCAGTGTCTCCCGGGCTGAATATAGTCAGTTGGGTTCACAGCGATTCAACAATACTACAAGAACACCACTATTGTGGCAGGTTCGACAGTATTACAGGTATAGGACTGGTGTGGTGGCTGCGACACTACAGCGGGTATTATAGCACGGCTACTGAGTTGGGTGGAGAGGGAAACAAGTCAGCTCAATATAGCCGAGTGTTGTCGAGTGCATGGTTTGTAGCGGCTTATTGTAAGTACATCACAGTTACATTACAACATGGAAATATGAAGTTAGGAGAAGATTAGCATCGTCATCGTAAACAGACATAAAACTGGAGACAGCTTAACCAGTTCTGCTGCGTTGTCCCTGTCGCGAGGGAATGAGCCAGTGCCTGCCTCGGCCCGGGAGTAGGTTTTCTTGAAGACTGCCCTGTAACAGTGACAGGAAACATTAGCTATGGTGTCAACAATGTAATGTAGACTGGCCTGTAATGAAACATTAGCTATGGTGTCAACAATGTAATGTAACAGTGACAGGAAACATTAGCTATGGTGTCAACAATGTAATGTAGACTGGCCCTGTAACAGTGACAGGAAACATTAGCTATGGTGTCAACAATGTAATGTAGACTGCCCTGTAACAGTGACAGGAAACATTAGCTATGGTGTCAACAATGTAATGTAGACTGGCCTGTAACAGTGACAGGAAACATTAGCTATGGTGTCAACAATGTAATGTAGACTGCCCTGACAGGAAACAACAGTGACAGGAAACATTAGCTATGGTGTCAACAATGTAATGTAGACAGGAAACATTAGCCTGTAACATGTGAATGTAACAGTGACAGGAAACATTAGCTATGGTGTCAACAATGTAATAGACTAGACTGCCCTGTAACAGTGACAGGAAACATTAGCTATGGTGTCAACAATGTAATGTAGACTGCCCTGTAACAGTGACAGGAAACATTAGCTAATGGTGGTGACAGGAAAATTAGCTATGGTGTCAACAATGTAATGTAGAATGTAGTGACAGGAAACATTAGCTGTAATGTAATGTGACAGGAAACATTAGCTATGGTGTCAACAATGTAATGTAGACTGGCCTGTAACAGTGACAGGAAACATTAGCTATGGTGTCAACAATGTAATGTAGACTGCCCTGTAACAGTGACAGGAAACATTAGCTATGGTGTCAACAATGTAATGTAACAGTGACAGGAAACATTAGCTATGGTGTCAACAATGTAACGGTGTAGGAAACATTAGCTATGGTGTCAACAATGTAATGTAACAGTGACAGGAAACATTAGCTATGGTGTCAACAATGTAATGTAGACTGCCCTGTAACAGTGACAGGAAACATTAGCTATGGTGTCAACAATGTAATGTAGACTGCCCTGTAACAGTGACAGGAAACATTAGCTATGGTGTCAACAATGTAATGTAGACTGCCCTGTAACAGTGACAGGAAACATTAGCTATGGTGTCAACAATGTAATGTAGACTGCCCTGTAACAGTGACAGGAAACATTAGCTATGGTGTCAACAATGTAATGTAGACTGGCCTGTAACAGTGACAGGTAACATTAGCTATTTATCCTTTAGCAAGCGAAAGTTGTATGTAGCTTTTGTAGATTTCAAAAAGGCGTTTGATTCTGTAGATAGAGGTAGAATGTGGAAATGCTTAAGAAATATAGGTTTGAGAGGTAAAATGTATGGTATCATAAGATCGATGTATTCCAATGTAAAGTCATGTGTCCGCTGTGGCTATGGTGTAAGTGACTTTTTCGATTGTCCTGTCGGTCTGCGTCAAGGATGTATTTTAAGTCCTTTACTTTTCTCCTTTTTCATTAACGAATTATATTTAGATATCATGAAGTCTGGTAAACATGGCATCCAACTCTCTCCCGATGTAATAGAACTTTTATGTTATTATTTGTTGATGATGTCATTCTTATGTCCAGCTCTGTAATTGGTCTTCAAAATCAAATAGATATACTCTCAGCGTATACAGATAAATGGCAGTTGAGTGTGAATCTAGATAAAACAAACATCGTTATATTCCGAAGAGGTGGTCCTTTGTCGGCTAGAGAGAAATGGTTTTTAAAGATAAACGTATGAATGTTGTGAATGATTATAAATACCTTGGCATATTGTTTACCCATACGCTGAATCTGAATAAGTCCGTACTTAACCTGGCGAGGAGAGCAAAGAAAGCTCTTTTACAACTTCACTCTGTTGTTCCTATGCTCGGTCTTGTTCCACCGACTATTGACTTCAAATTATTTGACTCTCAGATACAACCGATTTTACTGTATGGATCTGAAATGTGGGTTTTAAAGAGTATTATACCATAGAAAAAATTCATTTACTTGCCTGTAAAAAGTTTCTAAATGTTGGTTTGTCAACACCAAATGTTATGGTTTATGGTGAATGTGGGAGGTTCCCATTGTACATATCATCTTATTGTCGTTGTTTAAAATATTGGTGTAAAATAATTAATATGCCTGAACATCGTTTACCTAAAAAAGCTTTCAATATGCTTTTACATCTTGATTATCTTGGAAAGAATAACTGGACATCTCATATTCGCACCTTACTATTTAGATATGGTTTTGGTTGTATTTGGTTATCACAGACAGTTGGCAATGCAAATATGTTTATTAAACAGTTTCGTATGCGGGCTATTGATATGTTTAAGCAGGAATGGCATTCAACTATTAATGAAAGTTCTAGATACGATTCATATCGTCAGTTTAAGTCGTTGCTTGAGCCAGAGTGTTATCTTGCTCACATTAGCTATGGTGTCAACAATGTAATGTAAAAGTGACAGGAAACACTAGCTATGGTGTCAACAATGCAATGTAGACTGCCCTGTAACAGTGACAGGAAACATTAGCTATGGTGTCAACAATGTAATGTAACAGTGACAGGAAACACTAGCTATGGTGTCAACAATGTAATGTAGACTGCCCTGTAACAGTGACAGGAAACATTAGCTATGGTGTCAACAATGTAATGTAAAAGTGACAGGAAACACTAGCTATGGTGTCAACAATGTAATGTAGACTGCGCTGTAACAGTGACAGGAAACATTAGCTATGGTGTCAACAATGTAATGTAGACTGCCCTGTAACAGTATCCTGTTACTCTCTCTGTCGTGTCCCAGTGACTTCACGGTAACCTGTTACTCTCTCACATATTCTCTTACCTGTATCGTCTAATCATCTCCTTGATTCCCTCGGTGATCGTGTCCTCGTCATCAAAGAAAGGCCTGACATCGACCGTGATCTCCACAATCAGGTTGTCCTTCAACGCCCTGCCTGCTGACGTGCCCGTCATTGTGTACAGCTGGATCACAAACAAAGACATCGTCTACACCACACTACCTCTCATTATATACATAGTCGCCTTTTTAGACAACAATGATGAAAACGAATTCTAACCTGGATCTTCACGGGTATGCATAAAGTTTAATGACAGTATTTTCAAGCAACTAGATGACAATACCACTGGGCAACAGTCACCACCCACCAATATATTATCTCACCAATATATTATTTAACCAATATATTATTTAACCAATATATTATTTAACCAATATACTATCTAACCAATATACTATCTAACCAATATATTATCAATAACCTAACCTGTATTGTCTAACTACAGCAAATCCATCTGTCCCACTCCCCAGCCCCTCAGTATGTATAACTGATGTATTGTCTAACTACAGCAAATCCATCTGTCCCACTCCCCAGCCCCTCAGTATGTATAACTGATGTAACTGTGATGACATACCACGTTGTCGGCCTTGGAGTAAACGATGAGAACCGTTTCGTTACAGTTGCCAGTCAGTTTCCATCTCTTTGTGAGGAGGTAGGCGAACAGTCGAGCGTTCTTCAATCGGTCCATGATTTCCTCACCTTCCCTGGAACAGAGAGTTCGGACCTGTTGCTTCAGGACTGCATCAGACACAGAGCACGTTAAACCCCAGATCTGACCAATGGATACCTTACTCCCTTACTCATAGGTTACATTAACTGTAGTACTGTCGTAAGGTTTCGCTGACTCTCGTCCCGAGCATTACCATTGTTCTGACCACAGGTACCATAACATGGGTCTTTACCTTAACAGTGGTTCTGATCACAGGTACCATAACATGGGTCCTTACCTTAACAGTGGTTCTGATCACAGGGTTCCTTAACAGTGGTTCTGACCACAGGTACCATAACATGGGTCTTTACCTTAACAGTGGTTCTCTGATCACAGGTACCATAACATGGGTCTTTACCTTAACAGTGGTTCTGATCACAGGTACCATAACATGGGTCCTTACCTTAACAGTGGTTCTGATCACAGGTACCATAACATGGGTCCTTACCTTAACGGTGGTTCTGATGACAGGTACCATAACATGGGTCCTTACCTTAACGGTGGTTCTGATCACAGGTACCATAACATGGGTCCTTACCTTAACAGTGGTTCTGATCACAGGTACCATAATATGGGTCCTTACCTTAACAGTGGTTCTGATCACAGGTACCATATCATGGGTCCTTACCTTAACAGTGGTTCTGATCACAGGTACCATATCATGGGTCCTTACCTTAACAGTGGTTCTGATCACTGGGTACCTTAACAGTAGTTCTGACCACAGGTACCATAACATGGGTCTTTACCTTAACAGTGGTTCTGATCACAGGTACCATAACATGGGTCCTTACCTTAACGGTGGTTCTGATCACAGGTACCATAATATGGGTCCTTACCTTAACAGTGGTTCTGATCACTGGGTACCTTAACAGTGGTTCTGACCACAGGTACCATAACATGGGTCTTTACCTTAACAGTGGTTCTGACCACAGGTACCATAACATGGGTCTTTACCTTAACAGTGGTTCTGATCACAGGTACCATAACATGGGTCCTTACCTTAACAGTGGTTCGGACCACAGGTTCCATAACATGGGTCCTTACCTTAACAGTGGTTCTGATCACAGGTACCATAACATGGGTCCTTACCTTAACAGTGGTTCTGACCACAGGTACCATAACATGGGCCTTTACCTTAACAGTGGTTCTGATCACAGGGTACCTTAACAGTGGTTCTGATCACAGTGTATCATAACATGGGTCCTTACCTTAACAGTGGTTCTGATCACAGGGTACCTTAACAGTAGTTCTGATCACAGGGTACCTTAACAGTGGTTCTGATCACAGGTACCATAACATGGGTCTTTACCTTAACAGTGGTTCTGATCACAGAGTACCTTACCAGTGGTTCTGATCACAGTGTATCATAACATGGGTCCTTACCTTAACAGTGGTTCTGATCACAGGGTACATTAACAGTGGTTCTGATCACAGGGTACCTTAACAGTGGTTCTGATCACAGTGTATCATAACATGGGTCCTTACCTTAACAGTGGTTCTGACCACAGGTACCATAACATGGGTCCTTACCTTAACAGTGCTGCTGATCACAGTGTATCATAAAAGTGGTTCTGACCACAGGGTACAACAACAGTGGTTCTGATCACAGTTTACAACAACAGTGGTTCTGACCACAGGGTACCTTAACAGTGGTTCTGATCACAGTTTACCACAACAGCGGTTCTGACCACAGGGTACAACAACAGTGGTTCTGACCACAGGGTACAACAACAGCGGTTCTGACAACAGCGGTTCTGACCACAGGGTACAACAACAGCGGTTCTGACCACAGGGTACAACAACAGCGGTTCTGACCACAGCGGTTCTGACCACAGGGTACAACAACAGCGGTTCTGACCACAGCGGTTCTGACCACAGGGTACAACAACAGCGGCTCTGACCACAGGGTACAACAACAGTGGTTCTGACAACAGCGGTTCTGACCACAGGGTACAACAACAGCGGTTCTGACCACAGGGTACAACAACAGTGGTTCTGACCACAGGGTACAACAACAGCGGTTCTGACAACAGGGTACAACAACAGCGGTTCTGACCACAGGGTACAACAACAGCGGTTCTGACCACAGTGGTTCTGACCACAGGGTACAACAACAGTGGTTCTGACCACAGGGTACAACAACAGCGGTTCTGACAACAGCGGTTCTGACCACAGGGTACAACAACAGCGGTTCTGAAAACAGGGTACAACAACAGTGGTTCTGACCACAGGGTACAACAACAGCGGTTCTGACAACAGCGGTTCTGACCACAGGGTACAACAACAGCGGTTCTGACCACAGGGTACAACAACAGTGGTTCTGACCACAGGGTACAACAACAGTGGTTCTGACCACAGGGTACAACAACAGTGGTTCTGACAACAGCGGTTCTGACCACAGGGTACAAAAACAGCGGTTCTGACCACAGGGTACAAAAACAGTGGTTCTGACCACAGGGTACAACAACAGTGGTTCTGACCACAGGGTACCTTAACAGTGGTTCTGATCAAAGTTTACCACAACAGCGGTTCTGACCACAGGGTACAACAACAGCAGTTCTGACAACAGCGGTTCTGACCACAGGGTACAACAACAGCGGTTCTGACCACAGGGTACAACAACAGTGGTTCTAAAACACAGCGGTTCTGACCACAGGGTACAACAACAGCGGTTCTGACCACAAGGTACAACAACAGCGGTTCTGACAACAGCGGTTCTGACCACAGGGTACAAAAACAGCGGTTCTGACCACAGGGTACAACAACAGCGGTTCTGACCACAGGGTACAACAACAGTGGTTCTGACTACAGGGTACAACAACAGCGGTTCTGACAACAGCGGTTCTGACCACAGGGTACAAAAACAGCGGTTCTGACCACAGGGTACAACAACAGTGGTTCTGACCACAGGGTTCAACAACAGCGGTTCTGACAACAGCAGTTCTGACCACAGGGTACAACAGCGGTTCTGACCACAGGGTACAACAACAGCGGTTCTGACCACAGGGTACAACAACAGAGGTTCTGACAACAGCGGTTCTGACCACAGGGTACAACAACAGCGGTTCTGACCACAGGGTACAACAACAGCGGTTCTGACCACAGGGTACAACAACAGTGGTTCTGACTACAGGGTACAACAACAGCGGTTCTGACAACAGCGTTTCTGACCACAGGGTACAACAACAGTGGTTCTGACCACAGGGTACAACAACAGTGGTTCTGACCACAGGGTACAACAACAGTGGTTCTGACCACAGGGTACAACAACAGCGGTTCTGACCACAGGGTACAACAACAGCCGTTCTGACCACAGGGTACAACAGCGGTTCTGACCACAGCGGTTCTGGTCACAGGGTACCATAACATGGGTCCTTACCTTAACAGCGGTTCTGACCACAGGGTACAACAGCGGTTCTGACCACAGGTACCATAACATCGGTCCTTACCTGAACAGTGGTTCTCACCACAGTGTACCATAACAGTGGTTCTGACCACAGGGTACAACAACAGCGGTTCTGACAACAGCGGTTCTGACCACAGGGTACAACAACAGCGGTTCTGACCACAGGGTACAACAACAGTGGTTCTGACCACAGGGTACAACAACAGTGGTTCTGATCAAAGTTTACCACAACAGCGGTTCTGACCACAGGGTACAACAACAGTGGTTCTGACCACAGGGTACAACAACAGCGGTTCTGACCACAGCGGTTCTGACCACAGGGTACAACAACAGCGGTTCTGACCACAGGGTACAACAACAGTGGTTCTGACCACAGCGGTTCTGACCACAGGGTACAACAACAGCGGTTCTGACCACAAGGTACAACAACAACAACGGTTCTGACCACAGGGTACAACAACAGTGGTTCTGACCACAGGGTACAACAACAGCGGTTCTGACAACAGCGGTTCTGACCACAGGGTACAACAGCGGTTCTGACCACAGGGTACAACAACAGTGGTTCTGACAACAGGGTACAACAACAGAGGTTCTGACAACAGCGGTTCTGACCACAGGGTACAACAACAGCGGTTCTGACCACAGGGTACAACAACAGCGGTTCTGACCACAGGGTACAACAACAGTGGTTCTGACCACAGGGTACAACAACAGTGGTTCTGACAACAGCGGTTCTGACCACAGGGTACAACAACTGCGGTTCTGACCACAGGGTACAACAACAGTGGTTCTGACCACATGGTACAACAACAGCGGTTCTGACAACAGCGGTTCTGACCACAGGGTACAACAACAGCGGTTCTGACCACAGGGTACAACAACAGTGGTTCTGACCACAGGGTACAACAACAGTGGTTCTGACCACAGGGTACAACAACAGTGGTTCTGACCACAGGGTACAACAACAGCGGTTCTGACCACAGGGTACAACAACAGCCGTTCTGACCACAGGGTACAACAGCGGTTCTGACCACAGCGGTTCTGGTCACAGGGTACCATAACATGGGTCCTTACCTTAACAGCGGTTCTGACCACAGGGTACAACAGCGGTTCTGACAACAGGTACCATAACATCGGTCCTTACCTGAACAGTGGTTCTCACCACAGTGTACCATAACAGTGGTTCTGACCACAGGGTACAACAACAGCGGTTCTGACAACAGCGGTTCTGACCACAGGGTACAACAACAGCGGTTCTGACCACAGGGTACAACAACAGTGGTTCTGATCACAGGGTACCTTAACAGTGGTTCTGATCAAAGTTTACCACAACAGCGGTTCTGACCACAGGGTACAACAACAGTGGTTCTGACCACAGGGTACAACAACAGCGGTTCTGACCACAGCGGTTCTGACCACAGGGTACAACAACAGCGGTTCTGACCACAGGGTACAACAACAGTGGTTCTGACCAACAGCGGTTCTGACCACAGGGTACAACAACAGCGGTTCTGACCACAAGGTACAACAACAACGGTTCTGACCACAGGGTACAACAACAGTGGTTCTGACCACAGGGTACAACAACA